ATCCAACATCCAATGCAAGATTTGGTGTAAAGACGTCATTAACAGTCAGAGAAAAGCATGACAAAGATCTAATTCCAGTGTTAAATTGGTAATCTTAAGAATAAGTCTCTTATAAAGTGATTGATAAGTTTACCCGGATCGTATATATCTGGTAAAAACATTACATTTTATGTAATTTGTGGTAACGAAATCCTTGACTTAATAATATACCAGTAATACATAGATTACTTTCATTTAAATCCAAAACGTTACTATAAACACGGGCCTAGCAAACGAGTTGGGATATATATAAACACCGTAAGAACGAGCCAATTTAAAGGAACAGCACCGTCCCAAAATTGTTTTGGAAATTTAGCAATGGGGAACGAAAAATCGTCCCTTTCATCGTAAATATTTGTGTACGGAATTTCCAGTGTAAAACTGACATAAATCAATCTAGGAACGAACAATTATTGCTGTTTATATTTGATTTATTCAAAGTCTGTTCCTTTGGATAAATTTCGCCAGTATATTTAGAGAATTCTTGATTATTTAACGAAATATACCACCAGGATTACGGTAAGTAGATTTTAGACTGGTCTTTTCTGAGTTTGGCAATACATTGTGATTCTTAACAATACAGGAACAAGTCTGTTATTAAAGGAACGTAACTGGTGCCCATATGAATACCAACCACCTATCGATAAACTTTATTGCCGCAACGTACATAAATGTTGTTAAGGAGCACATTTACAGCCTTAATCATCTCAGCACACTTCCAGTAAGTATATCTAGCATATTTACCTTTTTCATTACAGAAAAAGGCTGTATACTGATTGATACTTTAGTCTTGGAGAAAATGATTTATTCATTAGTTGTAATTGGCTTTGGGCTAGCTTTCAGTAGCTGCGAGTACTCTGATTTCGGTGCTTTGTGTCTATTGTATTTATATATGTTAGTTGTTTCTGTTCCTTGTACCGAGCCTTTGAGTAGGGCCAATTGCAACTGATTTTTACAGTTTGTTCTTAATTTGTCTCGCGGCTGTTTCATCACTGTCACGGGTTAGGGAAGGGTAGAGCGCTAAAGACATGTTTAACCCGGCCACATTCTTTATATGCCTGTTCCAAGTCTGGAGTCTGGAGTGGTTCATATATGTCTTATTTGTTTTTCGTAAATTGTTTTGTTATGAATTAGGCCGTTAGTTTTCTCGCTTGAATTGGTTCACATTTTTTCATGTTAGGGCCTATTGCCGACTAAACGGTATGGGTTTTTTCTCATTGTTGAAGGCTGTACGGTTGCCTATGATTGCTTACATACACTTCATGTGAAGTCTGGTGGATAGTTGTCTCACTGGAAATTTATAATTGCTTACATACACTTCATGTGAATTCTGGTGGATAGTTGTGTCATTGGAAATTATACCCCATCTCCTTATTTTTTTATATAATATGAGTTGCAGCAGATAAATTTGCAATCAAATATACATTTTGTACATCTATATAGTCCAGATTGTTCATTTTCACTGTCGTATGCAAGTATTACTATTGTAGAATAAAGGGTAATGCGTTTTTTTTACGTTTTGAAGGTAACATTCTAATTTAATATCTTATCTGGGTTTGCCATTCAAATTTCTAATAATTTTAACATTTCTTTGTCATTAACCTCATAAAAAGGAATTCAATATCCAGTCCTAATATTTTCCGACATTATATGTTCATGTTTTCGTCAAGACAAAGCGTTACAAGTTTAAAAGAAAAGAAAAACGGCAACGGAAACAGCATTTCAACGACAAAAAAGATCAAAAGACATCTATAGATCAACATCAGTGTTTTCAAACGAGGTTTTTTAGGCAGTCAGTCATGTGATATCATACTTTCCTCAGACTGTTCATGACGTCTTTACAGTAAGTCCATTGGATATGTCCTGATAGATATTTTAGTCTGGGAAAGCAAGGTGTTCTTTTTAATTGGAACTTACTTTGCACTAGCTTTCGGTAATTGTGAATACTCTTAGATTGGTACCTTGTGTTTTTGTTGTATTTTTTTTGTAACTTTTTTGTGCGCTTAGTGTCGATCTAATGAGTAAAGCATTTTTCCAACTGTTGTTTTTTTTATAGTTTGTTCTTGTGTTGTGCTGTTTCCACACTATCAGTTAAGGGGAAAGTCGACTGCAGCTGTTTAACGCAGCCACATTCTTAACGTGCCTGTGACAAGTCCCGAATTAAGGCGACAGTAGTTTACTGATGTTCAAATCTCGTAAATCAATTAAGTTGTGCCGTTGGTTGATTTCTGTCATGTTTGCTGTTCGTTTTATATTATTTTTTTTATATATAAATCTGGGTCACTTAGTGTTTCACTTTTTGTCATGCATTTGCTGTTTATAGCTTGCTATACGCTGTTGGTTTGTCTGATTGTGAACGCCGTACGGTGGCCTATTGTTCACCCTCGTCTTTTTGTCTCTGATGGATAGTTGTTTCAATGGCAATCATAGCACATCTTCATGTTTTATATGAACATGTGGTGGGGTTAAACTATTTTATCTTTAGATCGCTACCTCTCACATTTCAGTATCCGAATCAGTGGACTAAAAATGGTGCATAAATGAACAAACGTTCATTAAGATTCGAGACATCAATGCTAAAACACGCATATCGGAAACGTTCACTCCATAAGGAGCCAACGAGCATCATCTTTAAGGAAAAGAAAATTAACAATGTGAAATGAAAATTTTGGTATGGAGATTACCAAGAAAAATTCTAATATCAAGATATAAAAACATGGATTTCTATTCATGTTTGATTGGTGGAGGTGGGTTGAGGTGGATAAATTTTGTACATTATGAAATATCTGAATTGTTTACGGAGAACATATTGCCCTTTATATCGGTTGTAAGATCACAAATAAAAAAAATGAAAAACGTTCACATGTATACTGGATGCAAATCATTCAGTTGAATCCTTATTCAAAATATTTTACGATTGTTAATCTATGATCTTTTCTTCGTTAAAAGTTGTAGGTATATGAACTTACTCGAATATTTGATTTCAGATTTTAATATTTTATTATTGTACTTAAATTTAGGCTACAGTAGTTTACCGATGTTCAAATTTCGTAAATCGAATATAATATGACACAAATCAAGGTAGCAAACAAAAACTGAGGGAATCACAAGAACTCAAAGAAGCGAGACCGGGTCTGTCGACAGAGTAAGCGTCTCCTGCTATGCATGCGTCGCTAGTCATGCGAATTCAAACTCAGTCAAAATGTCACAATCAGGAATAGGACACAATCGGTAAAATAATGATCAGACGACTTGACTGCTATCGAAAGATCTATCACATAGTATCGGTCAACTAATTCGTGATGGTGACCGTATAATTTATGTAGTGTCGATTTCAGTCGTTCTTCCTCGAACATGAGCTGGAGAAGTTTTTGTGTAATTAAGGAGCATATCCCTGTTAATGAAGTCCGTATCGCATGAACATGCTGGAGCATATATATAAGGTATTGAAAGAGATGCAAAAGATACAAAAGGGATATTCAAATTAACTCTTAAGTCGAAAACAAATTGACAATGCCATAGCAAAAAACGATCAAAAGATAAACAACAGTATACAAAAAAACAGCATAGAAAACTAAAGACTAACTGAGTTATGTAAACGCTACACGATGAAGCAAAGAGTGTGCTGCTGCTGAGCTAGTAACGATTGATTTTTTGTTTGTTAGTGTTTAACGCCACTTTCAGCACTATTGACGTTATATCGTGACCGTCAGTTGTTATTGCCAGATGGAGGAAGCTGGAGTGCCCAGAGAGAACCACCAACCTTCGGTAGGAAAACTAGCAATCCTAGTCGGTTAATATTGGAGTTGACATGCACCTGCCACGTTCGAGGTTCGAACTCACAACCTCGATCAATGTTGACAGGCAAGTGATACATCAAATGAACTACACTCTTAGAACACCGTCGGCCACACTGATAACGATTTTGAATGTTTTGTCAGCACGTGCACTCACACAACGCTTTCTGTGAGTAAATAATGTGTGTATGACTGGTCCAGATATTGCTCATCTTAGTAGAACGATTCGATTATATATACTTGAAGTTACTTACAAACTGAAGTTAGAATTAAAATCTTGTTAAAATTAATACCTCTCTGATAACTCTGAGATAGGGTGTGATCATAATTCTTGTTAATATACTTCCCTGATGATAACTCGGAGGGTGTGATAATTATTATCATATGGTTCAAGCTGGTATCAATACACATTAATTAATATATTGGTTGCAGCTCCAAGTTAAAGTTGGGTTAAAATATCATGGCCGGCGACAGGTTAAGCATATTTCCTGATTTGTCAGTTTGTCTGTTATTACAAAGCTTATATTTCTTTCAAAGCTTAAATCCTATTGTGGTCTTCTTTTGCTGAAGTTTAATTCCGTAATTTCCCCGGAATCGAAAGTTTAAAATCTTGTAAAATTTGAATTCTTAGATAGCCCGGTGAGGATTTAATTAAGCAGTTTTATTTATTCTTTTATTTGTTGAAGACATGGGTAGTCTTGTATCTATGATGAGTTTACTTGACTCTCGCATAGCATTCTTCATTTAATAATGTCATTGGAGTAAGCGTTGTTTTTTTTTTATAAATCTGATTAATTAACAACTGATTAAAATGATTAAAATAGTATACAATATATTTACGTCATTGTCTTGTTAAATAATTATCTGTACAGTTTCAATCAGCTAGATTTACAAAATCAAAATTCATAAAATGTCGCAAATAGTAAGCAATTCGATTTGGTCATGTAAATTTTTTTCAAAATCTATTAAATTATTTCATTTCAATTTTTATAATTTCGAGCACTATTATCCTTCCCATAATTTAAGTTCGTACTTTTCCGTACAGTCCGTTAATGACCCGTTATTGCACCGATGCGTCATTGTAGACCAATCAGGAGCGTAAAAATGCTGTCACGTGGTTATTTTCGTCAAGAAAATTCTACTTCGGTTATGTTCGTTGTGCTCTGTGACAAGCGTAAAACTTTTCATCAACAGCCGCCATCTTAAGTTGGTGAAATTAGAATTTTCCGTCGAATTTTGGGACTCTTTATTAGTAATAGAGAACCAATTTTTCATCGTAGAAACAATGATTGGATTATCATTTTCTTCAAAATAATATTTTTATTGGAATTTATCAGTTTGATTAAGATTGTAAATATGTGAAGCGATAATCACCGGAATATATCGGCTTTGTGAAAAAACCAAAATGGAAAACTGGTAATTCTGTGATGTAAAACGATTTACACTGACCCTTCAGACATCATGGCTTCAATTGCATTACATAAATTGAATTTATTTGCATTTTATCACATATTGGATTGCGGATCATAACATATTTTGAATATTTTTGCGTTGTCTGCACCAGGACCAAAGACTGAACAAGCAAATTACCATCATGGCCGACCAGTTCTCTTCCCTAGAAAATGTCGATGGGCCACCAGCAGCAAAGCGCCAGAAAACAGCATTAAGCGCATCCTCAGATGGAGGTAGTATGTGTTGATTTTATTTAAAAGCTTGCTTTGTATTGCATGTTGGTTAACAGTGGTAGGTAATTTTGTAATGAGTAAAATTAAACTTGGTGCTTCGGAAATGAAATACACCTTGTTGTACGCTATGTTTCAGGTCAGGAATGATTAAATAAAGTGACTTTGATTATTTGGACTTTGACAGTTCTTTTAAATAAAAAAGAAACAAATATATTTGTATATTTTAAAGTGAAAGTAGAAATGTTTACAAAAGGGTCCATACAACTCGGAGCCTGACATTGATAAATGTTTTGAAATGGTTCAAAACCTTGTAGTTCTTCTGTCCTGCAAAAAGTGAATGAACAGACTCGTTTGAACATTGATTAAACTTTTTTTGAGCGTTTGCTAAATTTCTGTATAACCCGCCATAGACAAATTTCGATTTCTTTTTTTTAATTATATAGTTTGACCCATGGTCAATTTGCTGAAGTCACAGATTGATAAACCAACCCTCACTGTCATATAATGACATTAAAATTGTGACATTGAAGGTGTGTATGTTGGAATGATGCACTGATAATTTATCTTTAATCCTCATAAATTACATGCTACATGAATGAAGTGCATTCTTAGCATCATGTAATTGACATGTTACTGGAGAGCATGATTCTACATACAAAATCATCTTTGTCTCTTCCGGGACTCAAACCCAGGACCTCTGTGTTACAAGGCAGCACTCTAACCGACTAAGCTAAAGAAGTACTTCCTTAGCTCAACCGCTTACGGCTGACTAAGTATCTACTAATGAAGGGTAGCAATCCCGTCACACTTCCCCCACCTCAAGAGTCATCATACCATTATGACTCTCGCACACATACGCTAGCTAGAATTCCTCTCGAACCAATTTGTGTTTTTTAGTTTGGCACCAAATGTAACCGGAGAGCATGATTCTACATATAAAACCATCTTTGTCTCCTCCAAGACTTGAAACCCTGAGACCTCTGTGTTACAAGGCAGCACTCTAACGGACTGAGCTAAAGAAGTACTTACTTAGCTCAACTGCTTACATCTGACTAAGTATCTACTTATGAAGGGAAGCAATCCTGTCACAGACATCTCGAAATCCTTTGCAGTTTAAATGCAAAACCAGTTGTGAATTGGTCCATTTTGAGTTTTAAAACTTTACTAGGACTGACCTTTATGGACCAATTATGCATATATTACAAACAGCCTCGCTTTCCACATTTTGATTTTTCCAATACTGAACATCACAGAATGTCTTTGATGCCTTAAAAGAAAAAGTTATTGTTGTTTGACTTCCTGGGTGGCAGATTCCTAAATAGAGATCACATCATTTGAGAACCAAAACAAAAAAGTACTTGAATCTTGATTTATTTCCTCCTATGTCAGAAATCCTAAATTGGTTTAAATTATTTAGGAATGATGTTGCTTTATGAGTGTATCCCTGTTTTGGAAGGTACTTATTATTAGTGTAAACTGTCATGTACAGTGTACAAGTATATTGAAACAGTTTGATGTTCGGAAATTATGCTGGATAAGCAGGTATCCAGAAAGCTACACATATTTAAGGAATGACTACTGTATTTTGAAGGGTTGCCACTGTCAATTGGGGATTTGGTGGTAGCAAATGCAGTTTTACTGGAGACGTGGAATCGGAGACCATCAAATGGATATTGTGACTGTCAAATATAAAATTGACGTTGGCAACTGTTCAAATACAGTATTGTTATTCCTATTTTATTGCAATACTCTTAAAATGATAAAAAATTAAAAATTAAGACATTGAATATCCCTTCAATGTTGACTTGGATTCGGCAACAACCGTAAACCGTGGAATTGAGGGTATATGTTATCTATTCAAAATTGGTGTAACATGCCTAAATGCCTTAGAATTTGTGATTGCTGCTTGAATTATAAAAAAAATATGCTGTCAATTGTCAAACAGTATTCTCAAGATTTTGGTATAAATACTGAAGACATTGGTATATTTAAGCAAGTAATGATACTGATATTCATGTACTTTATTAGAGTTCTCGAAAAGTGGTGGTCCGAAGGTCCTGACCACTAAAATTATGCAAAGGACGAATACAACTTTGGTATATATATTGCACTAGAAATAATAGTGAGGACTAGCAGATTTTCTTCAAGGACCACCAGGGATAAAAGATTTTGAGAATTTGGCTTAATGTAATAGATAGCTTTAATAATTTAACTGCAGAAACACCATAGCTGACCAAATATTGACATTCCCAACTGACAAAATTGTTATTGGATCACCAAATAAATTGACTGTTTCGATCTGAATGTTCTGGGTGTATTAGCATGTATAAGCCAGTTTCTAGCAAAAAATGTTTTATGTCATCATTCTATAACAAATGTTCAATTATATATTTATCTGTATTCTGGTGCTTCAATTCAATAAATATAACATTTAAGGACTTTACAGTCAGAATTTATTGGTTTTAATTGACCAATGTTGCAATTGTCATCTTTATCCAGACCTGAATGAACAGTTAATAAAACCTGATGCATGTTAATATCTGCATTCCGAGGGCAATTTAATTCCCGAAATGTATTATTCCAATCACTTCATGTGTCTGGAAAATCAAATTTCACCAACAATTATGGTAGGTTGTAGTAAGCCTGAGACGTGTAAAATTCTTGTAATAGCTTAAAATCTTCATAGTAGTCGGAACTTCAGTAGGGATCAAGAAATGCATGTAGAAGTAGTTGAGTTCAACCTGTATTCAGGTTGTGTGTTTCTAATGTTTAAAATTTAAGCCTCTAAAATTCCCGTGGGTCCTGTATTGATTTCAGAATGTATAGGCCCCCCTGGCCTGTGCTTTGAAAAGTTTTGTGTATAGACTGAATCAGGGTTTTGGGTCATTGATGGTGATTGTAAAAATCAGTCAGCAAGATTTCAAACTCTTCAATTTTTTTTTTGGGGGGGGGGGCTTAAATAGTTATTTTGCCTGCAAGATTAGGCCCTGATTGATTAGCTGCAATTCTTTCAGCTTATGTGTTTTTGGAGAGAAAAAGATCACCTCGTTTTCATGATTTTGTTATTGAACACCTTGCGGACAATTCATTGGCTTCAAAACAGTTGTAACAAAAATATTAGCCAGCTTTAAACCTTCAGTTTGCATGTGTTTTTTTTACCGTTCAAAATTTTATTACAAACACTTTAGAATCTGATTTATTTCTCAAGCATTAAAAACCAAACTTAATTCTTTCATTACATGTACAGTAATATGGAAAGTTTTGGTACAAATGTATGTGCTTCAATCATGTCAATAAGCCAAGTGTTTATGTTTCATTTTTTTTAAAACTATTTTCAGATTTTAGTTACAGTCAAAGCTTATTTGATATGGTGAATGATCTCCCAGATGAACTCTTGGGACCTAGTGAAAGCTATCAGAACAGTGGAAATGACAATGATACTCAGAACCACCTTGGTAAACAGGACTCGTCACAGAACAAACATGTTCAGCTATCAGCTCTATTACAGAATAATCCATCTCAGTCAAGTCCAGTTCCAAGCAGAAGTCCAAATGTGATGAATAATCCGGTTAATAGCATCAGAAGCCCATTATCAAATAGTTTGTCTTCACCTCCACACAATAGTATGATGGGTAAACCTGTATCAGCTAGCAGTGAGTTAAACTTTGCTTCAAGTAGTGCTAGCTACATGATGTCAAATACCAACACAGTCAATAGTATGGGAACAATGGCAAGCAATAATGTGATGAGTTCTCTAGGATCTCATGCAAGTTCTATACCAAGTGGCATGACAGGTTATTCCATAGCTCAGAGAAACCCAATGATGCATAATGGGCCTCAATATGCTGTAAGTGGTCAGGGACGTGGAACAGGGATAGGCCAGCAACTGTCCAATTTACCACAGTCAGGGATGTTGAATAACATTAATAACCCTAATTTGCAAGCTCGTATGAACATGGTTCATCCTGGATTACAGCCAAATGTTTCAAATCAGTCACAGCTTATGAATGTAAGTGATGATATTATGTATGTTGTAGTGATCCCCACAGGATTCTGGAAAGGGCAGGGGAAAATATATTAAAACTCAAAGAGAGTAGAATGGTAAATTAACAAAAGGATTTAAATCATGTTGGATGAATGTAAGGGCAGAGGTATCTAAAAAAAGGCTGATGGATAGTTCTTAGGAGAATCATTATATTGGCACAAATATTTTATCGACCCTGAGCATGTCTATGTTATAGTCCATGTACATTTGTACATTGGAAAAGAAAGTTATATATCTGTGTTTATAAATATACAGGTTGTTTAAGTTTATTATAGCTAAAAGAGTTATATATATTAAACATTATTTTGTACATTTTTATATAAAAACTTCCTGTGCAAATTACATGTAAATCATGTGTTTCCTTGATACCTGGTCATCCTGCCCTATCATAGAGTGGGACTTACAAAATGTTGCATTAGTTATCTTTTTGTTAAAGGTTGACTTCTAAGCTAAATTTAAAAAAAAAAAAAAAAAAATCTTTGAAAGACCATCTCAGAGCAACCATAATCAATTTTTTAGCAGAATGGTCCTGTTGGGAGTAGTCCTTTTGGTTTTACACAGAACAAAATGAACATGGGACAACCAGCATCAACTGGGAGTTTCACTAGCCCATCAATGGCATCGATCATGACAACACATTCACCTATGCCAGGCAACAACTTAGTTTCAGTAAGTAAAATCTTCATATGAAGGTCTCTGAATAAATAAGATACATTTTCCACAAAACTAACCAATGAATAACATACAAAAGAAAAGAAATACACACCAATATACAATTTTTGATCTGACAAATGATTATGCATGACTCATTGATTCACAATAAACACAGCTGAAACACTTGACCTAACTTTTGCACTCATTGGTGAGCTTGCAATCACAAATTTCAAGTATTTCACTGTACTACATATTTTGATCTGTGTTAAGGTCTTAAAAGTTTGTGTCTGTGCAATGTTGTCAGTAACACTAAACAGGACATTTTGTATGATCAAATGTTATTTAAACTAAGGTAAAGTAAATTTGTTTATTCTGTTTCACACAATTCTATTGGTAGCTGAAAGAACTATTGGTGATGAAGAAAATAGTGCTTTCAAGATTGGAGTTATTGTTAGAACTGTCTGTTATTCAGTTCTATTTTTACTCTAAATTGTTTTTCAGCAAAATTCACCACAAGCTTCTCTTGGAGGAATTAGTGGACAATTAGGTGCTGGTTTAAATGCTGGATTACCAGGACCAACAGGTGGAGATCGTCAGCCTCCTACAGCAGACCCAGACAAGAGGAAACTTATTCAGCAACAATTAGTGCTATTGTTACATGCTCACAAGTGCCAACGAAGACAACAGAATAATGGGGAAACATGTGGTCTACCGCATTGTAAAACCATGAAAAATGTTCTCAATCACATGACAACTTGTAATGCTGGAAAATCATGCCAAGGTTTGTAATCTGACTTTTTTTGCCCCTGCATGAAAACTCTTAGAGTTGAAATTATCACATGCTCATTTTCCAGGGATACTTTTTTCTCAGAAATTTCTGTATAATCTGTTGGGCATGATGTAATATACCCACGTTGTCTTAGTTGGATTTGGGCAAACTAAAATATATTTATGGCTTATCAGGGTTTTCACTTAGGATTTTTGAAGGCCAGTCCATGGACTCAGCATTTTTATACGCCCGTTTACAGGACGTTTTATGGTATACCGTTGACTGTTTGTCCGTCCGTCCCTCGTCAACATGTCGGACATTAACTCAAAAAAGCTCTAACCAATATGCATGAAACTTTGGTGAATTGTTTATATCTATTGACGTGAGCTCCCTTTCGTTTTTTATAAATTTCAGATTTACCGTTTCCGAGTTTTGGTTTTTATTCATTAAAAAAGGGGGGATTTTCCAGTTTTCCTACAATAACTCAAGAATGTTTTCACCAACTTGCAAGAAATTTTAATGAATTGTTTATATCTATTGACATGAGCTCCCTTTCGCTTTTTATAAATTTTAGATTTTACATTTCAGAGTTACAGGGTTTTATTCATAAAAAAGGGTAATTTTCCAGTTTTCGGGCAATAATTAAAAAATGCATTCAGCAGTTCTCATGAAACTTTGGTGAATTGTTTATATCTGTTGATGTAAGCTCCTTTAGAATTTTATAAATTTTAGATTTTACATTTCTGAGTTATGGGGTTTTATTCATTAAAAAAGGGGGTATTTTCAGGGTTTCAGCTAGGATTTTGAGGGCTTTAGTCACTTTTACGCGAGATGAAAATTAACCTTATTTTGGGTAACAGCAATGAATCAAGGACGCATATTTCTAGCTTTACATATGCCTAAGTCCTTCAAGGAATAGGACCTTTGTAGGCCTTAGGCCTGCTTATGTAGGCAGTCATTGCATGATTTGACTAATGTGATACCTAAATATGAAGACAAGAACAGGGATCCGGAAATCTAGTTCACAATTTTACTTCAGGTATTTGCAGGGGACATTCCTGATCAACAAAAGTTGGGTGCCTCTTTTTTTAAACCACATCATAATTCCCATAAATGAACTTGTAACGACTATTTCACTGCCTAATCATTATCCTTGTAAAGACGTTTAAATCGAAATTTGAAATTCATTTCTTTGAAGTTGGAAACAAGGATTTGTACCAATCCTTAATGGAACGATTGTTATGGCTGTACATTGTAAATTAATCGAGAATATATCACGTTTACTTTCTATTTTGAAACGAAATGAAAACGGGAAGTGACAAGTAGATAATAAATTCAGAATGAATCCGGATTCATCTACGGATTGGTTTCGTGGTTAACAAAAGGCAGGAAATTATCATTTTTTTTTAATTAAGTTGCTTAGTAATAAATATCTTTGTCTCTCGTTTAATTTGATACAAAATGATTTCGTATTTTACGTTTTAGTGTCTACAAATTTATAAGAATACTTTCACGCATGCGCAGTACACAGTAAAGGAAGCACCTGTTTGACTGGTGAAAATATTTCTGAACGTTTTGAATAAAAATGTTCTATCTTTTTAATCGAAAGTTTTTGATGAAAAGTTATATCAAATATGACGAAAATACGTTCACATGACGGACGAAACTATGACAAACAAACTGGATTGTTTGAGAAATATTGAAATTAAAATGCGAACTGTCCGGGGGGAAACAATTTTGTTTTAATGACGAAACTAGGAAAAACGAACTGCAAATTGTGGTCGTTTGAGAAATATTGAAATGGAATAATTATGATGGTCAATTATGAGGTTTATAAACAATTAACGGATTAGTGACCCATCTGATGGCGATAAGCGGATTAACTGTAATCACAACTTTTAACACCTGTTGTAAACATTAATTAGCTGATGGTCATAAACTTGTCAGAAACATGAAGACAGGGAGAATTATTGTATTTTCATGCGAAATTTTTTTTACACTTTCCAAATTTAAGTGACGAAATTGATTTGAAATACTTTCGTCATTTCAAAATTTCGTTTCGTAAAAGACGAAAGTGATGAGCGCTAGCAAAATCACTGAGTATTTTCCAGTTTTTGGACAATAACTCAAAAGTGCTTTCAGCAGTTCTCATGAAACGTTGGTGAATTATTTATATCTATCGATGTAATCTCCCTATTGATTTTCATAAATTTCAAATATGACATTGAGAAGAAATTGAACTTTATTTGTTTATAGTCTGACAACAGATTATCTAAGTATTGCGTAACAGCACAGTGTATTGCGCAACAGCAAGAAATCTTAAATTGAATATTAATTCAATTCATATAACCAATTTCAAGTTCTCTGACTACATTTTATCAGAAACCTATAATATGTCAAATATTTAATTACAATCCAAATTCAGACCTGTATCAAGCTTGAATTTGTGTCCATTTTTGCCCCAACTGTTCAGGGTTGGACCTGAGGGTGTATCCAGCTGCGCTCAGCGAAGCAGTTTATTAGAAATGAATCCAGACAGCTTTTCATGAGTCTAGGACCAATGGACTTGTCTTAGTGAGAACTCTGGCAGAGAAGTAATTGAAACCACTTTTGTTAACCTCAAGTTTGACTTTTAATTGTTAATTTCTTTTTTTTCTGTTGTTTAAAATATATCTTTATGTATTTTCAGTTGCTCACTGTGCATCATCACGTCAGATAATTACACATTGGAAAAACTGTACTAGAAGTGATTGTCCAGTTTGTCTTCCATTGAAGAATGCCTCGGACCAGAAAAGACCAGGTGGGACCTCAGGGACATCCAATGTCCGTAAGTATCATTCTAGCAATCTCAAAACAAAAGGGGCTAAGAGCAGTGTTGTTCCCATGCCGATCTGAAGCTGCGTCTTCCAAATATTTTTTTGTTCCCTCCGCTTACATTGGCCTTAAAAGTGCCTTAAAAGATATCCCACAGCGTGTTAATTTAATTGTGAACTGTTGATGACTTTCGTAAAATTAAAGTCCTCTGCTGAGAAGAAAATCAATATTACACCAAATTAGTAATTACGCATTTATTGATAGACTCCAGTCTCAGTAAACCTTTACCTGTATTTGCCTTATCAGATCGCATAATTGCATAGATTATTATTGAATAGATAAATATATTTCTTGGAAATACTATTTCAGTGTATCAGGGTTAGAATTAAGGGAAAAGATTGAAATACAAATACGAAACATATTTACGCATGGCTTTCCTGATTGATGAATTAAATATCAAATTTTCTCATTGGTCAATAATAAAGATCTATTTTAATACAACCAATCAATATGATGAAAACATGTGGTAACTTTGCAATACACAACTGTAAATATTAATGAATGGAAGATGTTTATGTAAAAAAAACGTAAACTAATATTTATGATAAATTCATAATGTGAATCAATAGTTTTGTTCAAAATGTGAAATTCAGTTTGCAAATAAAATTCGTCTTTAATTGTCATATTTGAAAAATAAGTAACCGGAGTGTCTGTTTTTGGTCCTTGCGCAGGAAAACTTTGACAATAAACAACTCGATGTCAATTGTTGTCATTTTCATAGAGACGTTTAATTTGAAGCAATTTGCAACACTCAGGTCGATAGAAAATTATAACACTCAGAATTTATCTAGACCAAAATACGGATGAAATGAATGGAAAATCAAGCCAAACAAAAATATTGTGGTTAATCGTTTCACCACTCATCTGACAGGGTTAATCTGACTTTGATCTTTCAACAGAAAAATCAATTATATTCATTTACGCAGGCAAAACATTTCATCATGTGCATTCATATTATTAAACCCCCACTTTTAAAAAGTTGGGGTATACTGTTTTACCTCTGTCAGTCCGTCCGTCCCATGAATATTTTCGTCGCATTTTTCTCAGGAACTACATTACAAAGATTTCTGAAATTTGGTTTCAGGGTTTATATAAGTCAGCTTTACTGTGTGATGCGTTTTCAGATTCATCACTCAACAACTTCCTGTTAACTGAACACTTGTATCATTTTACCCATGATAGCCAAGTTGAAAATTTTCGTCAATTTTTCTCGAGGAACTAAAATACAAGGATTTCTGAAATTTGGTTTCAGGGTTTGTATAAGTCAGCTATACCGTGTGATGCGTTTTCAGGTTCATCACTCAACAACTTACTGTTTACCAAACACTTGTATCATTTTACACATGATAGCCAAGTTGAAAATTTTCGTCACATTTTTCTCAGGAACTACAATACAAGAATTTCTGAAATTTGGATTCAGGGTTTATATAAGTCAGCTATACCGTGTGATGCGTTTTCAGATTCATCACTCAACAACTTCCTGTTTATCGAACACTTGTATCATTTTACACATGATGGCCAAGTTGAAAATTTTCGTCACATTTTTCTCAGGAACTACAATACAAGGATTTCTGAAATTTGGTTTCAGGGTTTATTTAAGTCATCTATACCGTCTGATGTGTTTTCAGATTCATCACTCAACAACTTATTGTTTACCGAAATATTTGGGCGGGGGTATCATCAGTGAGCAGTAGCTCACAGTTTCACTTGTTTTGTCAGTCATGTCAACAAAATATAAAAAGGTGAAAATACAATAATGATTACATTTGATAATAGAGTCAAGTTAATTTTTTTTTCTATTGTGTTGTAGCTGGTAGTGTTTTAGCAGCTCCACAAGGAAGTTCTACTGCTGCTGCTGCTGCTGCTGCCGCTTCCCCAAGTCAACCAGTAACCACCACACAGAGTCTTCCAAATGTATCAGACATTCAGATGCAGAGGGCATATGCTGCTCTCGGATTGCCTTACACTGGGTCACCAAGTCAGCAACCTGGAAGCCAACAAAGTCTTAACATGAGGCCTGCTGGTTCACACTCGCCAGGTAAGTTTTAAGATTCTATAGTTTAATATATGATATAGTTAAAGAGATGTCAGTATTTCATATTGCCCAATGTTAATCAGTAAAACCCAATCAAATCAACATTTTACTAGTATTTCCCACTTGACTGGGCAATACTCGTGTAACTCAGGTTTTTGCCTACCCTGTTTGCAGTTGTTTTATTTAAAAACATTATAAAATATTTGTATTGCATGCAAAATATTAAATTTGTCAATCTTTACGGAACAATTCTATTTGGTTTTTGCATTGTTGTACAGTTGAAGCTCAAAAAATCAAAGTCTCAGGGATCTGACAATCCGAGTCGACTGAGCCTGTGATTTCATCATGATGTATTAGTTCAATATTGTACCTTGTGTTGTCAGCCTGATATGTAATGGCAGAAAACATATTTAGTATGCCAATCTATTTCATCAGAACGAGACAGAATAAACAGTTCACATCTGATGTTAACAAGGATAAGGAAATATAAACTAACAAACCGTTACAGATGTACAATTTTTAACTTTCTACATAGCCGCTATCTGCTGATGTCAAGTCTTAGTCTTTTAACAAATTTTTAATCAGTTTAAGTATAAGTTTCTTAATTTGTAGATCTTTTATAAATTTTTTGGCTTTGGATCTAATAATTTCTTCTGTTATTATCTCATCTCGGGTAAATTGTGTTCCATAATTATAATTTTCCGCAGGGATCAAACAACAAAGTTGTTGACAAACAATAAGCGGGACATGCAATTTATGTTGCCTTCACTTCGAGAGGACACTGAAATATACTCGTGTTAACTGTGATATCAAGTCCAGAGTTAAAAATGCCTTGAACAAAAAATGGGAATTCTGCTGGGTCTGACAAAATATCTCGATTTATCTGAGTTTTCAACGCAACGAGGTTCGGCTGTATTTGTAATATTTCTGTTTGAGTTTGCTTGCTTTGTGCATTTTGCAATAAATCCATACTAGTGTGTGATACTTAGGTTAAAGAAAAATCTTCAATACTCCTGAAATTCAGTTTCCTCAATTGTCACCTCATATTTTGCAAGAAAATCCCTTCCAACATTCTGAAAAGTTTAAAGAGGTCTCATTCCTTAGTCCAAAAATTAATAGTTGTAAACTTTTCTCTTTTGAAAAAGACAAAACTTTTCCTTTTAAACATTTTGGATTTATACTTTTGCAGTATGTTTTGTTTCAGAATTTCTGTCCTGTGATTTGATTCCCTTGTCATTACTGGTATGTCATCTTAAATAAACCAGTAACAATGGGACATTGAAAGTTCATTATAGCATTAACAGTTATCTCCCTTAATGTGGAATGAAATGAATCTTTAGGAATATGGTGTGTACAGTTATTGATTTTGTGATAAAATTGATTTTCTATTCATTTGATTCAAAAGTAGTAAACTGTAAACTGTAGTGAACATGCTGAATTTCACTGCTGAACTGTAATTTTCATAATGACTTATTTCACTTGTACAATTGTTTTAGGATTAAACTCAATTGCTGTAGGAAATCAGTCAAACAGTTTATCAAGCATATCAAGTGGTTCTAACAATCCATTGGGAAATTTAGCAAGCATTGAAAGTTCAAGTCCAGCTCCAAATATGGCACAGGCAGCTCGGGGAACAAAGGAATGGCACCAAAGTGTAACCCAAGACTTAAGAAATCATTTGGTTCACAAATTGTAAGTAACCATCAACTCCTATTATAAGAACAGTGATGAAATATTCCCCAAAATAAATACATGTATAACAATATTGTTGTATGAATAACAACCATTACTAACAACCCCTAAACACTAAGCAAGCAACAATCAATCAATAACCCCAGCAAAATAAGTAGAGAGTCAAATTGAAAATAATAATAGATAATAGATAATAGTAGATCTTGTCAGTGTTTTTTTGGTAAGTGCAGGGGTTCAAATTTGCTTTAGATAATGAAGAGTTCAAGACTATTTAAATTTAAAGTGAAAAGTCCTCCTTAAAACAGTCAAAGGCTCTGTATAAATCATAAGGGTAAAGAATTAGAGGTCTATGACTTGTAATTCCAAATTGATAATTCCCTTACCAGAAAAGACAGATTCAAGATCTCAGACCTACACTATTTGAATCCCCTATAATTGGAATAAAAACTAATTCAGAGAAATTTAAGGTTTGGAAAATTAGCATTACTTATAGATTATAACATGCCCTTTTCCATACCTGCCCTGGTATCATCCTGAGACTTCCATATGGGTCGAGGGATGATACCAGGGCTCATATGGAAAAGGACATGTTATAATCTATTTATCACATATTAGACAAACCCTACTTTAAAAAAGTAGAAAGAATTTTGTTAAGATCAAACATGTTTTGTCCTCCATTGAAATAACATCATTATTACAAAGCCCCTCAACCATTCAAACTTGTAGTCCTTGAATATTATAATGTCAATGTCAGATTTCTTTTAGTACAAGTGTTCTTTATTTCTGTAACAAATTCCCCTGTAATTTTAATCTACATTTCATGTCTGTCATTGTTGTTAGGAATGCTTATGACGTCATAACAGGGCACAATAACTGGTTATTAGCCCCTGGCAGGAATATGACTAGGGCAAATCTGTGATTATTGCATATGCAAAACCCAATGTTTTTGTAACAAATATGTGATAAAAGTATATTTATATGGTCAATGAAAACTGATGCCAACACCCAATGCAACATTACATCACTGTTAACACCATTTATAGATAGGATAACCTTAATCTTGTTTAAAAATTAATATACTTAAGAAGAAGTTAGTTACAATCAAGATCACCATAATCTTAACGCTCAATCGAGTCCTATTTTGAACAAAGAAAGGTTAATTATGGATTTGATAAAAAAAAAGGTTGATGTCTGATGAATTTCTATTTAACAAAATTTTTCAAATATCTTTCTTTTGAGAGGACAATTTTAAAACAGTTCTATCAAAATTTAAATTTTTTCATAAAATATGGTGATCTAAGTGCTAACAAAGCTTCTGTTTATTTCATAAAGATTATCAACATTTGACAGGGTCCAAGCCATATTTCCAACACCGGATCCTGCTGCATTGAAGGACAGAAGAATGACCAATCTTGTTGCATATGCCAGGAAAGTTGAAGGTGACATGTATGATACTGCCAACAGTAGGGTATGTAGGAGTTCAATTTAAAGTAATAATGAATCATAATACATTACTAAACTCCCATTTGTAAAGCAGGTGTGTACTACACATTGTCCTTCAGTTGGTCACCAATCCTCCTGAAGTGCAAGTCTAATATATATCTAATTATTTCTCTTAAGGAATGATGTAACATATAGTCTTGAGGTGTACAATGTATTGAACCAAGTCAAGTTTCCTTTAAAGTTGGAAATTCTCTCATACCCATGAAGTTGTTTCTTGTAACTTTTTTAGTTTGCATGAAAGGGAATGCTGTTATGTTTGGTATGGAGTAGCTTATAATTTTTTGTTTTTATGTCTTTGCCAATAGTTTAATATTTTAAAGTATCCACTGAACATGAATCAAAATTTTTGTCAACATGTCTGAATTTTGTTGTGTAAGAAGGAATTACTTTTTATTTGGTCAAATGCTGGATAATTTGAGTTGTGGCGAATTTTAAGGATAGACGATAGTATTTTTTTATTTATTTTAACATGAAAATATTTTGATTTATAAGTATTGATTAGTTTTTACCCTACTTCCTCTTGGTAAGGTGTTATTGAATAATAGGACAGGAGTATACAAATATGATATAAATTAAGAGATAACTGTGTTGTATTTGAAGCTTTGCGGACGTCCATCGGTAGTTTTACTGTCGCAAATTTAGTTTAGCTGGCGACGCATAGCAGACAGGTAACGGATATTTGCGACAGTAAAACTACCGATGGATGTCCGCAAAGCTTCAAATACAATAGTTATTTCTATTCTAATGCAATATAAACAAATCTTTCAATATGGTCATTATTTTTGTGTAAAATTTGATTAAATGAAAATTTCGCGAAATGATGTTATCTTCTTTGGCGCCAAAACTAGGTGACGTCATATGTATGCTTCCGGCATCAAACTGCAAAATGTGAGTTTTTTGCTTATTATTGGAGAAATTACATGTCAATACATTCTGAAATTCAAAATATCGGCTTCCTTAATTAGACAGGGAGATACAGAATTGGACACTTATTGTCATCCAATCAGAAACATTGATACAAAATAATTGCATTAGATTTGATAATACATATAGATGGTAAAAAGGCTCTTCAGAACTGAAGATTACCATTTTAACATTATAAAAATTTAGCCAAATATACTAGATAAGCTTTTGTTAAACAATATTATCCTTGAATATAGAAATGTATACATATATTAGAATAACTGTGAATATACAACAGTTGATTGCATGGACCTCTTGTTAGAATTGTATGTTAAGTTGGACCATTTCCAGACAGACTTTCAGTATATTATTTTCCAGTTACAATAATGATACAGGTAAGATGTTAACTTATTTATTGAGAACTTTGCATTGATTGAATTTAAAGAAAGTGTGTTTTGTTTTTTACAGGAGGAGTATTACCACCTGTTGGCTGAAAAAATTTATAAAATTCAGAAAGAACTTGAAGAGAAAAGATTACAGAGAATGAAAACTGCACCTACAAGACCTCCTGGTCCAAGTTAGTTTCTGTCTTATTTTATACAAGGGGGAAAACAAATAATCTACAAATAGATATACATTATACTATAGAAGAAACATCAGAAAATATTTATGTTCAAGAACTTGTGTAATTCTTGAAAAGAGCTATTGTGTCTTAAATCAGAATTTTAGTTTATAGATAACATATAGCATTAAAAACTTTATATAAAAAAGACAGCTGCTTTATCAAAATGAAATTTAAAAGAAAAAAGATGTGTTTTCAAAAATTCTTTATTTATTATACCCCCGCTTTAAAAAAGTTGGGGTATACTGTTTTACCTCTGTCCATCCATCCATCCGTCAGTCTGTCCGTCCGTCCTATGAATATTTTTCGTTGTATCTTTCTAAGGAACTACATTTCAAGGATTTCTGAAATTTGGTTTCAGGGTTTATATGAGTCAGCTTTACCATGTGATGCGTTTTCAGATTCATCACTTAACAACTTCCTGTTTACCTTATACTTTCAGCGGGCGAGGGTATTATTATTGAGGAGTAGTTCACAGATTTGCTTGTTTAGCAAGGGTTTGCTCAATATACACTGCATTCTTTACACTTAACCTCAGGCCCACCAGCCCAGGCTTGTTCGTGAAGACTACACCAATACCTTGATTGTCATAATGATAGTCTCAACAGAAATATCCAGCTTATTTTTCAATGCTCAACATTCAGTTGAATTTGTTTCCCCCAGGACAACTTTAAGACTGGGTTTATTTTTGTTTATCCCTTGATCCTTATGATAAAAAAAGTCCATACTGGAATTTCAAAAATAATTGGTGCTATTTCAAAACTGTCTGCCAGTATGCTATTTGAAATTTCTGAGTAAAACACTCTGATTTATCAGATGTTATATTATAGTACTATTGTTTGTATTGCTTCTTGTTCTTTATTCACAGATGGACCTTTGATCAATGCTGGTGGTTTACCACAACAAAATCAGCCATTTGGAGCTCCTCGTGCAGCCTTAGGTTTGGATCAAAATACTCTTACCCAGGTAATATAGCAATTATAATTTTTTTTTAGATATAAAAATTATTTGAGGAATTAGTAGAAGCAAAATTGTCAGTTTCAGCCACATTCTAAACCAGGGCTTCCAAAAAATACTTGAGCAAGCCTGAAATTTTTTCATTATTTTAATCCTGTAATAGAAATAGATATTGGGTATCAATCCATCAGACAAAATCAGTACAAGCTAAAAAAAAACACAAAAAGTAGAAGAGTGCTTTTATTGCTGTTCTTACTCTCAAAGTCACAGTGAGGCCAACATGAAGCAAAAAACTCTCACCTAACTGCAAATTTAAGACAGCCCCTAGCACCGGTTTGAGTGGAATTCATTATAGTCCGTTTGACTTCTATAAATCTTCAGAAAATAATTCTTAAAAATTCATTTTTGCAAATAAACATTTTTTTTCTTGATGTATGTTAATGTATGATATATACGAACTCTGACTATGAATATCATAATTTTGGGCCAATAATCAAAAAAGTTACCCATTAGGTCTCCATGTTACTTCTATTTTTTTAGCTCACCTGACCTGAAAGGTCAAGTGAGCTTTTCTCATCACTTTGCGTCCGTCGTCCGTAAACTTTTACAAAAATCTTCTCCTCTGAAACTACTGGGCCAAATTTGACCAAACTTGGCCACAATCATCATTGGGGTATCTAGTTTAAAAAATGTGTCCGATGACTCCGCCAACCAACCAAGATGGCCGCCATGGCTAAAAATAGAACATAGGGGTAAAATGTAGATTTTGGCTTATATCTCTGAAACCAAAGCATTTAGAGCAAATCTGACATGGGGTAAAATTGTTTATCAGGTCAAGATCTATCTGCCCTGAAATTTTCAGATGAATCGGACAACCCGTTGTTGGGTTGCTGCCCCTGAATTGGTAATTTTAAGGAAATTTTGCCGTTTTTGGTTATTATCTTGAATATTATTATAGATAGAGATAAACTGTAAACAGCAATAATGTTCAGCAAAGTATGATCTACAAATAAGTCAACTTGACCAAAATGGTCAGTTGACCCCTTAAGGAGTTATTGCCCTTTATAGTAAATTTTTAACCATTTTTCGTAAATTTTTGTAATCTTTTACAAAAATCTTCTCCTCTGAAACTACTAAGACAAATTTAACCAAAATTGTCCACAATCATCATTAGGGTATCTAGTTTAAAAAATGTGTCCGATGACCCTGCCTGCAAAACCAAGATGGCCGACATGGCAAAAAAATAATACATAGGGTAAAATGCAGTTTTTGGCTCATATCTCTGAAACCAAAGCATTTAGAGCAAATCTGATGGTATAAAATTGTTCATTAGGTCAAGATCTATCTGCCCTGAAATTTTCAGACCAATCAGGCAACATGTTGTTGGGTTGCTGCCCCTGAATTGGTAATTTTAAGAAAATTTTGCAGCTTTTGGTTATTATCTTGAATATTATTATAGATAGAGATAAACTGTAAACAGCAATAATGTACAGCAAAGTTAGATCTACAAATAAGTCAACATGACCAAAATTGTCAATTGACCCCTTAAGGAGTTATTGCCCTTTATAGTCAATTTTTTACAATTTTCATAAATTTTGTAAATTTTTGTAAATTTTTACAAAATATTTTCCACTGTAACTACTGGGCCAAGTTCATTATAGATAGAGATAATAGTAAGGAGCAAGAATGTTCAGTAAAGTAAGATCTACAAACACATCACCATCACCAAAACACAATTTTGTCATGAATCCATCTGTGTCCTTTGTTTAATATGCACATAGACCAAGGTGAGCGACACAGGCTCTTTAGAGCCTCTAGTTTTATATAAAAAATTTGATGGAGTAAGTATGAATAGTGTAACAGCCTTCCATTCAAAACAGAAACATTAGACATGTGTTTTAAATGAATTTTCTGAATTATGTTGGAATTGGCAAACCAAAGTTATATGTCTGTTTCCAGCTTGGCCAAACTGGACTAAATATACAATTTTGATACGACCGCAAAAAAATTTTTGTGGTCGTATATTGGTATGATGTTGGCGTCGTCGTCGTCCGAAGACACGTTAGTTTTCGCACTCTAACTTTAGTTTAAGTGAATGGATCTCAATGAAATTTTACCATAAGCTTCAAAAAGGAGGGTGGGGATTGATTTTGGGGTTATGGTACCCACAGTAAAGGAATTAGGGGCCAAAAATAAGCATTTTTGTAACTTCCAGACATAACTTGTGTGTAAGTATATGGATCTCTCTGACATTGTACCACAAGGTTCCATATCACAAAGGGAATGCTGGGATTGATTTTGGGGGTAATTGCCTCCAAATTTTAGGAATGAGGGGCCAAAAAGGGAAAAAAAACAAGCATTTTTCTAGTGTCATGACAATAACTTGTGTGTAAGTGTATGGATCTTTCTGAAATTGTACTACAAGGTTCCATATCACAAAGGGAAAGCTGGAATTGAGTTTGGGGGTAATTGCCCAAAAAGTTTAGGAATAAGGGGCCAAAAAGGGGCAAAAAATAAGCATTTTTCTTGTTTCCAGACAATAACTTGTGTTCAAGTGTATGGATCTCTCTGAAATTGTACTGCAAGGTACCATACCACAAAGGGAAGGCTGGGATTGATTTTGGGGGTTTTTCCCTCAAAATTTTAGTAATTAGGGGCCATAAAAGGGCAAAAAAAAAACATGCATTTTTCTAGTTTCAGGACAATAACTTGTGTGTAAGTGTATGGATCTTTATGAAATTGTACTGCAAGGTTCCATATCACAAAGGGAAAGCTGGAATTGAGTTTGGGGGTAATTGCCCTAAACGTTTAGGAATTTGGGGCCAAAAAGGGGCCAAAAAACAAGTATTTTTCTAGTTTCCAGACAATAACTTGTGTTCAAGTGTATGGATCTCTCTGAAATTGTACTGCAAGGTACCATACCACAAAGGGAAAGCTGGGATTGAGTTTGGGGGTGATGAATCATAAGGGGGTTCAAAAAAATGGGGGGGGATTTTTTTTTTCCTTTTTTTTCTTTAACATTTTCCATTTTAAATTGGTTATTTCTGATTTATATATAAAAGCAAATAATAATGATATGGTTTGAATAGGCATACATGTGAACCTCCCGACGGGAGTACAATAATCCCTTTTTCAGGGGTCTCCTCCCGACCTCCCGTTGAAGAGGAAAAAATCCCGTGTGAAATTTTTCGTGAATGAAAAATTTCTGCCCAACATATCATCTCAGGCATCTGGTGTAACTGACATTACCTGAAGTTATATTTTACCTGTAAATCAATTAACATGCATAATTATATGGCTTCACTTGTCAGCTTGGGTGTCAAACATACTGGTAATCAACGATTTTTACCTCAGTCTAACTGCCGTTGTGTAACAAAAACTGTGTATTTATTTGATTACTTCCCTTGATTTATCCTGTTTTAAGTTACTTTCCTTTTAATAATGAATTTTTTTAAAAGAATATAAATAAAATATAAATTGAACAAATAATCATAAAAGGATGGTAATTAAATGATTTTAAATGTCTTAGGACAAATAAAAAAATAATAATTTGAAAATTATTTGAGGATTCTGTACTTCCTTTCAAGGCTTAAATTGAAATTTATGTAATAACTATGACCCTAATTGTACAGATAGAATGATTTTCTGAGTTTGCAAATAAAAACCATTTGCAAGAGAAAAAAAAATAAATAAAAACTATTTGCAGATAGTTAAACAAATGTTCTGGTTGCAATGATTGTTTTATAGAATATGAAGTAAAAAATTTAAAGAACATACTGAAAAAAAACAATGTTAGATTGAACATGTAGAATATAAAGATGGAGAAACTTTATAAGTACAAGGGTACTATAAACATAATAAATTGGATGGAAAGTTGAAGAAAACACACTTTAAAAGACCATTTTTACAGCACACGGTTACATTTAGAACAGAATTAATGTCGATTAAAAACCTCCTGATCTGAGTCCCAATCTCCTGACCAAAATTTCCCAATCTCCTGATCTGAGTTTCACAGCACATGTATGAATAGGTAAATTAAAATTTTTTAAGTTCTTAGACCACTTTCATTCTGTGTCAGAAACCTATGCTGTGTCAAATATTTAATTACAATCCAAATTCAGTGCTGTATCAAGCTTGAATGTTGTGTCCATACTTGCCCCAACTGTTTAGGGTTCGACCTCTGCGGTCGTATCAAGCTGCGCCCCAGCGGAGCATTTTATTTAATCTTTTTCTTGATATTTCAGCAGTTGGGAACCTTAAATCAACAGCAACAGCTGCTTAAGGCTCAACAAATTGATAGCATCAAAAACAGATTTCCACAACCACAACAAACTATCCCTCAAGTAAGAATTTGACATCGATTTTAATTATTTCAGTCAGGTTTTTGTTGCATCCTTTTTTACAGAACTTTTATACACTTGGAAAACAAAAAAATACTATACATATTAGCTTCCCTGTCCAAATTTTCAAATGAAGCTGGATTCAAAGAACACATCATAGTTGATGAATATTTGTTCTTAGTACAGTTTGAACATACTGTAAACCAACTTATTTTTGTGGATACTTTGTTTTATTTTTAGCCCTTTCTGACTGATTTTGCGGAGATTTATTATCACGATTTTCTAAATTTCATGATGTATTTTTATAGGGAAAGGTCCAATTGATACATATTCGCTACACTATATATTCGTGTTATTTGTCTACTCGCGGAAGTCACGAAAATAAGTTGGTTTACAGTAAGTCATCATTTGATGTCTGTCTTCTTCCTTCCAAAAATTTTGATTATTTTCTCTTGGAACTTGTCAAATTTTGACTGAAGTTAAAACTTAAATCAACCTTTGGTTACTTACTTCTTAAACCATATCATTTGCTACCAAACTTGTCCATCATTTTATATGTACATTTTTCCTTTTAACTGATCATATAAGGGTAATTGCATGAATAGTTAATATGTTCCAGAGCAGATTTTATGTTGCATAAGTTTGTGAGTGCAATATATTCTACAAGAAATAATATTCACCAATATTCATGCAATAATTGTTTTTTTTGTATTGCAAAGCTTGAAAAACTGTTCAAAAACTTTATGCAAAGCCTCTGCATTTTATAAAAAGAGATAATTTGACAAAAAACTTTTAAAAAAGCAAGAATGTGTCAAGGGAGAGTATCTACATAAACAAATAAGAAAAATGTTGAATACAGTAATCTTTTGATTTAAGAATTGTTCTTTACCCAAGTGAGTGATATAGACTACTTTGGACCACTAGTTAATTTGCACTATACATTTGTATGTCTTAATCACACAGGCTCAAACATGCCCACACACCAATAATGGCACTTTACATGTATTTATATCTGTTGTTTTCAGCCACGACCACAACTTCCCCCATCTCCAGCATCAGTCAGCCAACTGACTCAGAGAAGTCCTGCTCCAGCATCCAGTATTCTGTCACAGTTCTCACCACAGCCCCTGTTGTCACAAAACCCTACATCAGTATCATCACAGTTGTCATCGTCTCAGGTAAGAGAACAATTTTCCTCTGTCCATACTTATTTTTATATGGCTGTAAGGGATGTATTATGATATACTGTTGTCAATATGTCGACACTTTGTACAATAACTCAAATTTCCTTTTAAACAAATCTCAGGGCTGTTCCATTAAAACATACATGGTACCCAGGGAAGGCACTTTAAAAATGGGGGTAACAACCTAAAGAGGCAAATTACAATTTCACTTGCATTTCCACTATGCAAAAACATAGATGACACCCACCCATAGTTGAGATTTGAAAGTGCCTTCCCTGGGTCCCATGTATGTTTTTATGGAACAGCCCTCATGAATTTTAACAACATTAGGATTGAAGAAAGCTCCCTTTCCATTTTGAAAATTTTTGGTCTCGCTCCAAAGTTATGGGACATAACTATCATATTAGGACAGTTTTTCACATATCTTTGCTATTTTTCAAGAGAAGAGTTATTAGAGTATGTCTGGTAGACTTGGTTATCATCATACATGTATTTGGCAGACAGTTGCATTAGTACACATCTCTGTTCCTTGTCAGTTGATTACCTTCTCATTGTCATGTTTGGATGAGGTTGAAAGGCTGCCCCTTCAGTTGTTATCAATTGGATATTTAAAATGGTAACAAGAACCATTAGTGAATGCCTAAAAAAGCCAACAGCAAATACACTTTGTTATGAACAAGATCAATTCACATTAATAGCTATTTCTAAATCATGCAAGTTAATGGCATGTCATTTTCAAGAAAGTGACATAAAACTACTCTACCTTATTTTTATGCCCCTGATGTAGCGGAGGGGACATTAAGTTTTACCCTTGTCCGTCTGTACGTACGTACATCCATACGTCCCAAAATTGGTTTCCGTTCTCTAACTAAAGTTTGCCTCAACCAAATGTTATGAAACATATACACAATGCTTATTACCACATAATACAGATCAAGTTTGAATTTTGGTAGCTTCACTCTAACCATTCTAGAGTTATGCCCCTTTATAAATGAAAAAATTACAAAATTTTTAGTTTCCGTTCTCTAACTTAAGTTTGCCTCTACCAAATGTTATGAAACTTTTACACAATGCTTATTATGACAAAACACAGATCAAGTTTGAATTTTGGTAGGGGTCACTTTAACCATTCTTGAGTTATGCCCCTTTATTAATGGACAAAAAAAATGCAAAATTTTTAGTTTCCGTTCTCTTAAGTTGCCTCACCCAAATATTATGAAACTTATACACAATGCTCATTACCACAAAACACAGACCAAGTTGAATTTTGGTGGGGTCACTTTAACCATTATTTTTAGAAAATGTTGCCAGCAAATCTTCATTTTGCTGATGCTAAATTTAATAGTATGCACAACCACCAAAATACCTTGGTTTATTTGTTGCAGTCATACAATGCTGCATAAGTGTTTTGTGATCAGGACTCTTTTGTTAAAAGATATTACAAAATTACTTTAATAGTAATTGACTATTTTTAATTATCTCTTTGCAGTCATAAAAAATATGCAAAAAGCTAACAAGCTGGTTATAACTTTAATATTTGACCATCTTTTATTATCTCTTTACAGTCATTAGAAAATTTACATAATGCATTACAAGCAGACAAGCTGATGTCAGCAGATATAAATACTAGTCTCAATCAAAATGGTGGTAGTCAGCCCCAAACATTAGTAGATGTACTGACAGCTCCATGTACAACAGGTTCTACACAGCCAACCAGTACTGCACCAGCTACATCTACAACAACAGTAACCACTAGTGCTAGTAACAGTCTCATTAACTCTACCCCAATTACTAATTCTATAGAGCTGGATGTTAAACCAGATATTAAACAAGAAGTCAAGATGGAAATTAAAACAGAGCAAGACATTAAACAAGAACCTGGAATTCATTGTGGAAAAGAGATTTCACAGGTATTTTTTTGATTTGTATAGGGTCAAATATTTGAACAACATAGGAGATGGTCATATAAAGATTAATTTGAGTTGAAGGATTGATGAAGTTTAGCACATCAACAATAACCAGGAATATCATGTTTTTTATCTCACCTGGCCCAAAGGGCCAAGTGAGCTTTTCTCATCACTTGGCGTCCGTCGTCCGCCGTCGTCATCCGTTAACTTTTACAAAAATCTTCTCCTCTGAAACTACTAGACCAAATTTAACCAAACTTGGCCACAATCATCATTAGGGTATCTAGTTTAAAAAATGTGTCCGATGATCCCGCCTGCCAACCAACATGGCCGACATGGCTTAAAATAGAACATAGGGGTAAAATGCAGTTTTTGGCTTGTATCTCTGAAACCAAAGCATTTAGAGCAAATCTGACATGGGGTAAAATTGTTTATCAGGTCAAGATCTATCTGCCCTGACATTTTCAGATGAATCGGACAACCCGTTCTTGGGTTGCTGCCCCTGAATTGGTAATTTTAAGGAAATTTTGCCGTTTTTGGCTATTATCTTGAATATTATTATAGATAGAGATAAACTGTAAACAGCAAAGTAAGATCTACAAATAAGTCAACCTGACCATAATGGTCAGTTGGCCCCTTAAGGAGTTATTGCCCTTTATAGTCAATTTTTATACGCCCGTTTACGGGACGTATTATGGTATACCTCTGTCCGTCTGTCCGTCCGTCGTCAACATGTTGGACATTAACTCAAAAATGCTTTAATGTATCTAGTTTAAAAAATGTGTCCGATGACCCCGCCCGCGAACCAAGATGGCCAACATTGCAAAAAAATAGTACATAGGGTAAAATGCAGTTTTTATACGACCACAAAAATTAAAAAATTTTTGGTTGTATATTGGTATGAAGTTGGCGTCGTTGTCATCGTCCGAAGACACATTGGTTTTCGCACTCTAACTTTAGTTTAGGTGAATGGATCTCCATGAAATTTTACCATAAGGTTCAATACCACAAAAGGAAGGTTGGGATTGATTTTGGGGGTTATGGTACCAACAGTTAAGGAATTAGGGGCCAAAAAGGGGCCAAAAATAAGCATTTTTGTAACTTCCATACATAACTTGTGTGTTAGTGTATGGATCTCTTTGACATTGTACCACAAGGTTCCATATCACAAAGGGAATGCTGGGATTGATTTTGGGGGTAATTGCCTCAAAATTTTAGGAATTAGGGGCCAATAAAGGGGCAAAAAACAGGCATTTTTCTAGTTTCATGATAATAACTTGTGTGTAAGTGTATGGATCTTTATGAAATTGTACTGCAAGGTTCCATATCACAAGAAGAAAGCTGGGTTTGAGTTTGGGGGTAATTGCCCTAAACGTTTAGGAATTTGGGGCCATTGTCGGACATTTACCCAAAAACGCTTTAATCAATATGCATGAAACTTTGGTGAATCATTTATATCTATTGACGTGAGCTCCCTTTCGTTTTTTATAAATTTCAAATTTACCGTTTCTGAGTTTTGGGGTATTATTCATTAAAAAAGGGGGGACTTTCCAGTTTTCCGACAATAACTCAAGAATGCTTTCACCAACTTGCAAGAAATTTTGGTGAATTGTTTATATCTATTGACATGAGCTCCCTTTCGATTTTTATGAATTTTAGATTTTACGTTTCCCAGTTACAGGGTTTTATTCATAAAAAAAGGGGTATTTTCCAGTTTTCTGACAATAACTAAAAAAGGCTTTCAGCAGTTCTCATGAAACTTTGGTGAATTGTTTATATCTGTTGATGTAAGCTCCCTTTAGAATTTTATAAATTTTAGATTTTACATTTCTGAGTTCTAGGGTTTTATTCATTAAAAAAGGGGGGATTTTCCAGTTTTTCGACAATAACTAAAAAATGCTTTCATCAGTTCTCATGAAACTTTGGTGAATTAATTATAGCTATTGATGTAATCTCCCTATTGATTTTCATAAATTTCAAATATGACATTGAGAAGAAATTGAACTTTATTTGTTTTTAGTCTGACAGTATTGCGCAACAGCACAGAGTATTGCATAACAGCAAGAAATCTTTAATTGAATATAAATTCAATTCATATAACCAATTTCAAGTTCTACATTTATTCAGAAACCTTTAATATGTCAAATATTTAATTACAATCCAAATTCAGACCTGTATCAAGCTTGAATATTGTGTCCATTTTTGCCCCAACTGTTCAGGGTTGGACCTCTTCGGGCGTATCCAGCTGCGCTAAGCGAAGCAGTTTATTCTAGTTTCCAGACAATAACTTGTGTTCAAGTGTATGGATCTCTCTGAAATTGTACTGCAAGGTACCATACCGCAAAGGGAAGGCTGGGATTGAGTTTGGGGGTGATGAATCATAAGGGGGTTCAAAAAATTTAGGGGAGGGATTTTTTTTTCTTTAAAATTTTCCATTTTATAAATGGGTTATTTCTGATTTATATATAAAAGCAAATAATAATGATATGGTTTGAATAGGTAAATTAAATTTTTTTAAGTTCTTAGACCACATTCATTCTGTGTCAGAAACCTATGCTGTGTCAAATATTTAATCACAATCCAAGTTCAGTGCTGTATCAAGCTTGAATGTTGTGTCCATACTTGCTCCAACTGTTCAGGGTTCGACTTCCGCGGTGGTATCAAGCTGCGCCCAGCGGAGCATTTTATTGCCTCATATCTCTGAAACCAATGCATTTAGAGCAAATCTGATGAGGATAAAATTGTTCATTAGGTCAAGATCTATCTGCCCTGAAATTTTCAGACCAATCAGGCTGCTCCTGAATTGGTAATTTTAAGGAAATTTTGCCGTTTTTATTGGTTATTATCTTGAATATTATTGTAGATAGAGATAAACTGTAAACAGCAATAATGTTCAGCAAAGTAAGATCTACAAATAAGTCAACTTGACCAAAATGGTCAGTTGACCCCTTAAGGAGTTATTGCCCTTTATAGTCAATTTTTTAAAATTTTCATAAATTTTGTAAATTTTTGTAAATTTTTACAAAATATTTTCCACTGTATCTACCGGGCCAAGTTCATTATAGATAGAGATAATAGTAAGGAGCAAGAATGTTCAGTAAAGTAAGATCTACAAACACATCGCCATCACCAAAACACAATTTTGTCATGAATCCATCTGTGTCCTTTGTTTAATATGCACATAGACCAAGGTGAGCGACACAGGCTCTTTAGAGCCTCTAGTTATTGATTGGTGAATTTAAAAAAAGGAATTATCAGAAACTACACATGCAGCAACATATGAAAAGTTCCCTTATCCTGCTTTAAAAGAAATTGTACCCCTGAAATAAAGATGTGAATAAACATAAAATGAGATGAACAGATATTTAAAAATATTCCTTAAATGATTTTGATTTTATAGCCCATACGGAAAGAACATATTAATGAAAAAGTCAGAAATCATTACTCCTTTAAAAAATAATGAGATCTGGTATGTTTGCAAATGAGACCGACTCATCTAAGACCATTTACACACTGATGTAAACAACAAACTAATAGAGGGAGCAGTTTTGATACACTGTTGGCATCACATAGATCAAGTTTTCAACACGGGACATTAAACAGGCATACATCCTAAGAAAACCAAAGTAGTGTCAGAATGAAAACGAAGAATATAACGAATATAAAAAAATTAAAAATATTTAATACTTTATATAATAATGGGCTGTCTCTCACACTTTACATAATCATAGTGTTGGGTATAGGCTGGAAAACTGTAATAGATTAATAAATTAGAATAATTGGACAGCATGCACTGATTTTATTTTTGATTAACTTGAGTTTTTAATTTATATGCTTACAATATTTATACATTTTTATACGACCGCAAAAAAAATTTGCGGTCGTATATTGGTATGACGTTGGGGGGGTGGGTTTTTTTTCCTTTTTTTTACTTAAAAATTTTCCATTTTAGATTGGTTATTTCTGATTTATATATAAAAGCAAATGATAATGATATGGTTTGAATAGGTGAATTAAATTTTTTTAAGTTCTTAGACCACATTCATTCTGTGTCAGAAACCTATGCTGTGTCAAATATTAAATTATAATCCAAATTCAGTGCTGTATCAAGCTTGAATGATGTGTCCATACTTGCCCCAACTGTTCAGGGTTCGACCTCTGCGGTCGTATCAAGCTGCGCCCAGCGGAGCATTTTATTCCTTATGTTATACTTGTGTATGTCATGAATAGTATAAAACTTAACCCATTTTTGGGTTCTCAATGCTCCACAACTTCCTACTTTATTTGGCCTTTTTTATACCCCTGCTTTAAAAAAGGGGGGGGGGGGGGGTTATACTGTTTTACCTCTGTCTGTCCTTCTGTCAGCCCGTCAGTCCATCCGTCCGTCCCATGAATATTTTTGTCGCATTTTTCTCAGGAACTACTTGTCAAGGATTTCTGAAATTTGGTTTCAGGGTTTATATAAGTAAGTTACACCGTGTGATGCATTTTCAGATTCATCACTCAACAACTTCCTGTTTACCGAACACTTGTATTATTTTACACATGATAGCCAAGTTGAAAATTTTCATCACATTTTTTTCAGGAACTACTTGACAAGGATTTCTGAAATTTGGTTTCAGGGTTTATATAAGTCAGCTATAACGTGTGATGCGTTTTCAGACTCATCACTCAACAACTTCCTGTTTACCGAAATATTTGGGCGGGAGTATCATTACTTGTTTTTTTATACAACCGCAAAAAAAATTTGCAGTCATATATTGGTATGACGTTGGCGTCGTCGTCCGAAGACACATTGGTTTTCGCACTCTAACTTAAGTTTAAGTGAATGGATCTCTATGAAATTTTACCATAAGGTTCATTTCCACAAAAGGAAGGTTGGGATTGATTTTGGGGGTTATGATACCAACAGTTAAGGAATTAGGGGCCAAAAATAAGCATTTTTGTAACTTCCAGACATAACTTGTGTGTAAGTGTATGGATCTCTCTGACATTGTACCACAAGGTTCCATATCACAAAGGGAATGCTGGGATTGATTTTGGGGGTAATTGCCTCAAAATTTTATGAATTAGGGGCAAAAAACAGCATTTTTCTAGTTTCATGATAATAACTTGTGTGTAAGTGTATGGATCTCTCTGAAATTGTACTGAAAGGTACCATACCACAAAGGGAAGGCTGAGATTGAGTTTGGGGGTAATTGCCCTAAACATTTAGGAATTTGGGGCCAAAAAGGAGCCAAAAAACAAGCATTTTTCTAGTTTCCAGACAATAACTTGTGTTCAAGTGTATGGATCTCTCTGAAATTGTACTGCAAGGTGCCATACCACAAAGGGAAGGCTGAGTTTGGGGGTGATGAATCATAAGGGGGTTCAAAAAATTTGGGGGAGGGATTTTTTTTTTTTTTAATTTTTATTTTAAATTGGTTATTTCCGATTTATATATAAAAGCAAATAATAATGATATGGTTTGAATAGGTAAATTAAAAAATTTTAAGTTCTTAGACCACATTCATTCTGTGTCAGAAACCTATGCTGTGTCAAATATTTAATTACAATCCAAATTCAGTGCTGTATCAAGCTTGAATGTTGTGTCCATACTTGCCCCAACTGTTGAGGGTTCGACCTCTGCGGTGGTATCAAGCTGCGCCCAGCGGAGCATTTTATTTAAATTGGATTCCAAATTCACTTATCAGTCTTGTATACGAAAAGGAGCGTCTGGCGTACAAAATGCTAAGCCTGGTATCTATGGTTAGTTAATTGTAGTAGAATGACCAAAATTACAGAGTCCTGAATACAATGGACATTTTATAGGTGTTAACATTAGAAATAGGTGTTAAAAGGTTTCCCGAAAAAATTTAACATTTTATAGAATTATTTTACTTATTCAGGCGCGTAGCTGCCTTTACGCAAAAAATCATTTGCTTGCACATTTTTTTCACAAAAAAAATATTCTGAAATTGAATTACGGATAGTCTTTAGTCGTGTCGGGCGGTGTTTAAAGCCAAAATCTCTAATGTTGCTCTAGCAGTGACTAATAAGGAACTACCATCAATATTCGCAATCTTCTCAATTCTAGTTACAATGCCAGTAACCACATCAACTACTGAACGGTCATTTAGTGCATTATGGCGACCGAAAATGTATCTCCGTTCAACCATGATACAGGACAGACTATCTTCGTTGGCGCTCATACATGTTCACAAAGAAATGGATATCAACACCGAGAGAGTTCTGCGATAATTTGCCTTGGCAAAAAAATAAATATATGGACTTTCGATATTAACTATACTTTTAAGTCTTACATTCAGTATTAACATTTAATGATACAGGCTCAATACAATCACCTTGAAAACATCTTAGATTTATATCCCTTACTTATAAGTCAAGACTTAAAAGTGGCCGTTAGATTTCGTATTCCCATTGTCCGTTCGTCCAAAAGACTATTAATTCACCTGGGGTATCTGTGTCCCAAATGACCTTCTACTGTTGTCGTAGAAACTTCTCCTTTGATTTGAGAATGACCTTCGTGAGAAACACTCCGGGTGTCTTGCAAGAAGCAGGAACTGCTTACCCTTCCGGAGCACCGGAGGTCGCCACATTTTTTTCTGGGTCCGTGTTTTTCATCTGTATTTAGTTTTCAATGTTGAATGCTTTTGTTTCTCCTTTTGTGTCTTATCTGTTCCCGGGTTTGTCAATTGTCCATTGGCTTTTAACGCTTCTGTTGTCTACTCTTCCTAATCATCCAGTTTTATAAAATTTATTTTATATTTGAAAATAACCATGTTAATAATATAAGCAGCAAATTACGGAACTCCCTGACTTTTACTATCGTTTCATGAAAATATGATATAGTAAGAAACAGATAGGGTATTTTTCATGTTCAATGCAGTCACTGTAATTACTCGTATGCCCGGAGCTTCATGGGGATTCGCTTCCCTGGACCACCGTCTACGATGCTACCCTGCATGGATCCCCGACTAGGGTGCTACCCTGGACCAGCTGGGGACTTTGAGCGGTCCATAGTCTCCTCCCTTGCAGAATCACTATAAAGTCCACAAGTATTCACAAAATAGGAGTTTGGGCGTGAAGGAATTTTATAAGCATGGCATATCTGGAAAATGCCTGAAAAAAGTTATCATTTTCTGCATAAAATGGTCCAAAAAAAATTTTCGCCTCGCTCCGCTGGCGATAGTTATGATTGCACTTCAAATTAAGTCCAGCTACGCCCCTGTTATTATTAATCCATAATCAGACCATCACTATCATTTACTCGTAATTTAAACAATTCAATCACCTATATATAGTTAACTAATAAAAAATGAGAAAAATCTTTAATTAAAGAGAAAACATTGATAGAAACATTATATACCCCTGGGAACTTCAGTTTAAGCTGAATATGATGTTATCCAAAAGTTGTAGGGAGAAAACACTGCTTTAACCTATTCACAAATAGCCGCCCAGACAGAAGTTACTCTTGAGACGATGGCTTCCCTGGCTATTGTGGCACAAGTAGGAGAGCTTCATATTAAATATAAAAAAAAACTTATCTGTAGTTATTTATGTCTTTATTTTATTCACTTACACCATGGACACTGTTTTGTTTATGTTTTAATAAATTTTTTGTCAGAAAAAAAACAAATCGGCTAATTTTCAGCATTGCAAAACATAAAATTCACTAAATCATCTTTTGGACCCAGAATTGTAAATGTTTAACCCAAAAGTTTGAAAATTTTCTACGAGGTTGTACAAATTCCTTACACTGAACAATGTCCACAAGTGTTTCTGTATATAAAACAGCATTTTATGTCAAATTAGTGAACTAGTCTGGCTTCAGTTCTTCCAAATTCTTCCCCATAAAATGTTCCCTTATTTCAAATTCCAGTAAAATCCTACATTTTCATACATTTTCAGTTGATTTTGACACGGTTTTCAACAAATGTTTACACTTTCATCTCGGCAACAGACAAAGAAAGATAACTTGTTTGCAATGTTTTTCAGCAGGAAATATAAAAAAGGTATGGAGATCCTGGTAAACTGGGTTCATCGTCTGCTATCTGAAGCGTGAATCCTGGTAAACCAGAAAACCGGGATTTGACGAAAAGGTTAAACAATATGGGGATTAAAATTTTGTATGTAGAAGTTACTTTGACAACATACATTTATGTCATATTAATGTCACATGTAAGGTACTTGAAAATATATAAACCATATTTCTTTTCATTTTTTCAGTCATCTCAAATAAAAACAGAAAATGATGGCTGCACAAGTGATATAAAACCTTTGATATCTCCGAAGACTGAGGTTACAACCAATGATACTGAAAATAGTGAAACCAAACCAAGTCCAATGGAAACAGCATCCATGTCACCAAGCATTCCTGTATCCACACCGTCATCAACTCCCAACAACACAGTTGCTGTATCATCCAAACCAAGATGCAAAAAAAGTAGGTAACTCCTCAATCCCCTTGAAAAATGGAAATTTGAATTAAAAATACAAATATCCCTCTCATCTTGCAACTTCTTGTTTATTGGCCATTGAGTTAATGGTTAAACTGCCAACATATTATATCATTTGAAGCAGTATATCGAGATATATATAAATTATCCTGAAAATACAGTATTTTGAGCAATGCGAAGCCATCAGAAAACTCAACCCTTAAAATTTTAAAATATTTCAGTAAATGTTTCCTAATGATTCAGGATGATGGAAAAATGAGTTCAGATTAGGAGTGAATGCTTTCCTCCAAAGTGCCCTTGAACTTTAATTTGAATTACAATCATCATAATATTATTGATTCCTATTTTTTCAGTATTTAAACCTGATGAATTAAGACAATCTTTGATGCCGGTGCTAGAGAAGTTATATAAGCAAGATCCAGAATCTATGCCATTCAGACAACCAGTTGACCCAGTCTTATTGGGAATACCAGTAAGTGTGCAGATAAGAAATTTTGAAATTGTAGCAATAATATAAAATGTTAGTTTGCATTATTTCCCTGGGTCAATTTTTTTTCCCCCACCTCTTTCGCCAAAAAATATATATTTGGCCACTTTCATTTATTTTCACCAACTTATATTTCGTTTTTGCAAACAATATAAATTTCAATTTTGGTCTCCTCATGATAATTAATCCCACTTCTCTGTTTCATAATCTACATTTTAATAAATGAACACTTTAAGTTTAATAAATTTTGTTTACATTTATAGATATTGTAAAATTACAATGCAAATGCAATAAACAATGAGTTAGTACCAAGTCCATTGTGGATTTTCAGAGTTCCACTAATTAAAATCAACAGGTCTGGATTCATCTTCAATAAATTTTATCGGATACTTCCCATCTAGTTCAAAAACTGAATAAAATTCTGTATTTTTCTTATTTTTGTAGGTATTTCTTCAAAAAACAGGTTTTTTTCCCGACCCACAGTTAAAAGTTAGTGAAAATGTAAAATAATTTTTAAAATAGGAGTGCTAAATAGTTCTGATTTCAAAACAATTTTTTTTTTATAAAAGTTGTAACAACAGCTTATTATACCCCACGCAACGAGTTGCGGAGGGTATAATGTTTTTGACCTGTTCGTCCGTCAGTCCTATTTCTTGTCATTGCAACTCCTCTCAAACCACACAACAGAATTTCATGAAACCTTTTTATACGCCCGTTTACGGGACGTATTATGGTATACCGTTGTCCGTCTGTCCGTCCGTCCGTCCGTCTGTCCGTCCGTCTGTCCGTCGTCAACATGTCGGACATTAACTCAAAAATGCTTTAACCAATTTGCATAAAACTTTGGTGAATTGCTTATATATATTGACGTGAGCTCCCTTTCGTTTTTTATAAAATTTAAATTTTACGTTTCCGAGTTATGGGGTCTTATTCATTAAAAAAAGGGGGATTTTCCAGTTTTCTGACAATAAGTCAGGAATGCTTTCACCATTCACCAACTTGCAAGAAATTGTGGTGAATTGTTTATATCTATCGACATGAGCTCCCTTTTGATTTTTATAAATTTGAGATTTTACGTTTCTAAGTTACAGGGTTTTATTCATAAAAAAAGGGGGGATTTTCCAGTTTTCGGACAAAAAATCAAAAATACTTTCAGCAATTCTTATGAAACTTTGGTGAATTGTTTGTATGTATTGATGTAAGCTCCCCTTAGAATTTTATAAATTTTACACTTTACATTTCTGAGTTATGGGGTTTTATTCATTAAAAAAAGGGGTGATTTTCCAGTTTTTGGACTCAAAAATGCTGTAACCAATTCTCATGAAACTTTGGTGAATTGTTTATATCTATTGATGTAAGCTCCCTTTTTATTTTCATAAATTTCTAATATGACATTGAGAATTAATTGAACTTTATTTGTTCATAGTCTGACAACAGATTTACTAAGTATTGCATAACAGCAAGAAATCTTTAATTGAATATAAATTCAATTCATATAACCAATTTCAAGTTCTTTGACTACATTTATTCAGAAACCTATAATATGTCAAATATTTAATTACAATCCAAATTCAGACCTGAATCAAGCTTGAATATTGTGTCCATTTTTGCCCCAACTGTTCAGGGTTGGACCTCTGCGGGCGTATCTAGCTGCGCTCAGCGAAGCAGTTTATTAGATAATAAGGACATACTATGTAGTTGTGCATATCGACAGGAAATTACGATTCAATTTTTATACGACCGCAAAAATTAAAAATTTTTTGGTCGTATATTGGTATGACGTTGGCGGCGTCGTCGTCTGGCGTCGTCCGGCGTCGTCCGAAGACACATTGGTTTTCGCACTCTAACTTTAGTTTAAGTGAATGGATCTCCATGAAATTTTACCATAAGGTTCAATACCACGAAAGGAAGGTTGGGATCGATTTTGGGGGTTATGGTACCAACAGTTAAGGAATTAGGGGCCAAAAATAAGCATTTTTGTAACTTCCAGACAATAACTTGTGTGTAAGTGTATGGATCTCTCTGACATTGTACCACAAGGTTCCATATCACAAAGGGAATGCTGTAATTGATTTTGGGGGTAATTGCCTCAAAATTTTATGAATTAGGGGCCAAAAAAGGGGCAAAAAACAAGCATTTTTCTAGTTTCATGACAATAACTTGTGTGTAAGTGTTTGGATATTTCTGAAATAGTACTACAAGGTTCCATATCACAAAAAGACAGCTGGAATTGAGTTTGGGGGTAATTGCCCGAAACGTTTAGGAATTGGGGGCGAAAAAGGGGCCAAAAATAAGCATTTTTCTAGTTTCCAGACAATAACTTGTGTTCAAGTGTATGGATCTCTCTGAAATTGTACTGCAAGGTACCATACCACAAAGGGAAGGCTGGGATTGAGTTTGGGGGTGATGAATCATAAGGGGGTTCAAAAAATTTGGGGGGGGGGATTTTTTTTTTTTCTTTTTTTTTCTTTTTTTCCTTTTTTTTTTCTTTTAAAATTTTCCATTTTAAGTTGGTTATTTCTGATTAATATTTAAAAGCAAATAATAATGATATGGTAGGAGATGCACACCAAACAGGATTTGTAAATTATTATATAATAAGTATTGTGCAATAGCAAGAAATTTTCAATTGCACAGTATTGCACAATAGCAAGAAATCTTCAATTGCACAGTATTGCGCAATAGCAAGAAATCTTCAATTGCACAGTATTGCGCAATAGCAAGAAATATCCAAAAGCACAATATTGCGCAATAGCAAGAAATTGTCAATTGTACAGTATTGCACAATAGCAAGAAATATTCAATTGCACAGTATTGTGCAAAAGAAGATACTTCGTATAAATTGCTTATTTCTTGATCAATTTCAATGGGGTTTTATTCTTGAATTCTTGGGGTTCTTTAATATGCTGAATCTAACCGTGTATTAAGTTTTTGGATTTTGGACCCCGTTTTTAAATTGGTCCACATTGAGGTCAAAAGGGTCCAAAATTTAACTTTGTTTGATTTCATCAAAAATTGAATTATTGGGGTTCTTTGATATGCCGAATCTAACCGTGTATTTAGATTCTTAATTTTTGGTTCCGTTTTCAAATTGGTCTACATTAAGGTCCAAAGGGTCCAAAATTAAACTTAGTTTGATTTTAACAAAAATTGAATTCTTAGGGTTCTTTGATATGCTGAATCTAAACATGTATTTAGATTTTTGATTATGGGCCCAGTTTTTAAGTTGGTCCAAATCGGGGTCCAAAATTAAACTTTGTTTGATTTCAACAAAAATTGACTATATGGGGTTCTTTGATATGCTGAATCTAACCATGTATTTAGATTTTTGATGTTTGGGCCACGTTATCAACTTTGTCCACATTGAGGTCAAAAGGGTCCAAAATTAAACTTTGTTTGATTTCATCAAAAATTGAATTCTTGGGGTTCTTTGATATGCTGAATCTAACCATGTATTTAGATTTTGGATATTGGACCATAATAGGTGAATGTCCAATTTAACATTTTTAAGTTCTTAGACCACATTCATTCTGTGTCAGAAACCTATGCTGTGTCAAATATTTAATCACAACCCAAATTCAGAGCTGTATCAAGCTTGAATGTTGTGTCCATACTTGCCCCAACTGTTCAGGGTTCGACCTCTGCGGTCGTATCAAGCTGCGCCCTGCGGAGCATTTTATTTTTCTAGGAGTTACGCCCCTTTGAACTTATTTACTTTAATGTACTACTTCAACCTTTTGTCATCGCAACTCCTCTCAAACCACACAACAGAATTTCATGAAACCTTTTCAGATAATAAGGACATACAACGTAGATGTGCATATCGACAGGAAATTACGATTCAATTTTTTTTCCAGGAGTTACGCCCCTTTGAACTTATTTGCCAAATATACTTCTGCAACTTTTTGTCATCGCAACTCCTCTCAAACCACACAACAGAATTTCATGAAACCTTTTCAGATAATAAGGACATACTACGAAGATGTGCATATCGACAGGAAATTACGATTCAATTTTTTTTCCAGGAGTTTTTACGCCCTTTTGAACTTATTTGCCCAATATACTACTGCAACCTTTTGTCATCCCAACTCCTCTCAAACCACACAACAGAATTTCATGAAACCTTTTCAGATAATAAGGACATACTACGTAGATGTGCATATCGACAGGAAATTACGATTCAATTTTTTTTCCAGGAGTTACGCCCCTTTGAACTTATTTGCCCAATATACTACTGCAACCTTTTGTCATCGCAACTCCTCTCAAACCACACAACAGAATTTCATGAAACTGTGTAGATAATAAGGACGTACTATGTAGATGTGCATATTGACAGGAAATTATGATTCAATTTTTTTTCTGATACAATTTTTTTTTCTTGCACTTATTTTATTTCTCCAATGACAATGTGGGGACGTGGGGTATGTGAGCGCGCTCACTAAGGTTCTTTAATTTTAAAAGTGACATGTGAAACCATTCGACCACTTGAATTTTGATAAACCATACAATTAACACCTTTTATTGATTAGTTAATTGCTGATAGTTATCAAATGCTTTTAGCTGATTATTGATTTCTATCAAAATCATAATGTGTAAGGAGTTAAATGTTTACTGATTAGGGGAAAAGTTAAGAAACCTGATAAAAAATAAACAAGATGGACGATGTCGAAACGTTATAATTTTTTCACCAAAGTTTTTCACAAATGATGATTATTTTTTGCAACAGTTTTATTTTTTATGCCCCCACCGTAGCTGAGGGGGCATTAAGTTTTAACCCTGTCCGTCTGTACGTCCATACATCCCAAAATTGGTTTCTGTTCTCTAACTTAAGTTTGCCTCAACCAAATGTTATGAAACTTATACACAATGCTTATTACCACAAAACTGAGATCAAGTACAAATTTTGGTAATGTCATTTTTACCGTTCTTGAGTTATGTCCCTCTATAACGTCATCTATGTCCCATGGACACATTCCCCATTTATTTACCAAATGTGAAAATGGTGACTAAGGGAAACCCCAAGTTAGTATACCCAGGTGATTTGTGTCGGGCCATATATTGAATTTTGATGGAAGTTGTGATTGCCCTCTTTCTTCTTGACAGAGACATGAGATCTGTGAAGTGTTCAATCTCTGATGTTAACTGGTTAATAAGTGTCATCACACACTTTCTTAAAAGATATTGTCCTAAATGCCTTAAAAGTGTTAAATTCTAACATGGGTGCAGTTTACCCTGGAATTGAAAGATACTTTACATATTTCCTATTTGCAAACTCATAATAAAGAGAGACCTTTTTATACGCCCGTTTACGGTACGTATTATGGTATACTGTTGTCCATCTGTCGGTCCGTCTGTCCGTCCGTCGTCATGTCGGACAGTAACTCAAAAACGCTTTAAAATATTTGCATGAAACTTTGGTGAATTGTATGTATCTATTGACGTGAGCTCCCTTTTGATTTTTATAAATTTTAGATTTGACGTTTCCGAGTTATGGGGTTTTATTCATTAAAAAAGGAGGGATTTTCCAGTTTTCCGACAATAACTCAAAAACACTTTCACCAATTTGCCAGAAACTTTGGTGAATTGTTTATATCTATTGATGTGAGCTCCCTTTCAATTTTTATGAATTTTAGATTTTATGTTTCCAAGTTATGAGGTTTTATTCATTACAAAAAGGGGGATTTTCCAGTTTTCTGACAATTACTCAAAAATGCTTTGAGCAGTTTTCATGAAACTTTGGTGAATTGTTTATATCTATTAATGTAAGCTCCCTTTCGATTTTTTATAAATTTTAGATGTTACGCTTCTGAGTTATGAGGGGGCATTTAGTGTTACCCTTGTCCGTATGTACATCCCAAAAAAGTTTGCCTCGTGAAACTTATACACAGTCCTTATTACCACAAAACACAGATTAAGTTTGAATTTGGGTGGCGTCTTTTTTACCGTTCTAGTGTTATGCCCCTTTACAAATGGAGAAATTGCTGCATTTTTCGTTTCCGTTCTTTAACTTTAGTTTGCCTCAACCAAATGTTATGAAACTTATACACAATACGCTTATTACCATAAAACTCAGATCAAATTCGAATTTTGGTGGCGTCACTTTTTTTGTTCTTGAGTTATGTCCCTGTATATCGTTATATGCAAGCAGGGGCATCATCTGTATCCCATAGACACATTCTCCATTTATTTCCTTTAAGGTTTTCTTATTAACAAATTTGGTTTGTAGGTTTTTATGCATTAAGTTTTACCCTTGTTCGTTTCCGTTATCTAACTTAAGTTTGCCTCAACCAATTGTTATGAAACTTATACACAATACTTATTACCATAAAACTCAGATCAAGTACAAATTTGGGTAGTGTCACTTTTACGGTTCTTCAGTTTATGCCTTTATAACTTTATATGATATGCAAGCGGGGGCATCATGTGTGTCCCATGGACACATTCCCCATTTATTTTTTAAGGTTTATATATTTGTTTGATATAGAGTTACCCTTAACTTCTACACATTACTGTTCAGAGTTCTGAATAAGCCAAGGTGAATTTCTCAAAACTTATATTTTGCAAGTCAAAAATATTTTAGACTGATTCATTATAAGGGAAAAGCATTTTGACCTTTTAAATAATTGGTATATGAAGTTTGCTGTTTGTGTTCTTTTCATTAGTACTGTTATCTTAAACAGGATTACTTTGACATAGTAAAGACTCCAATGGACCTGTCGTTGATACGAAGAAAGTTAGATACAGGGCAATATGCTGATCCATGGCAGTTCTGTGATGATGTTTGGATGATGATGGACAATGCATGGCTGTACAATAGGAAAACTTCAAGAGTTTACAAATTTGCTTCAAAGGTAATAATAAAACTCACAAAAAAGAGATATCTATGTCTGTTAGAAGGACAGTAGCTTCTCTGAAAGGTGATGATTTTATATTTGGTCTGCAGTTTGATGATGTTGATTTGTAGTGTGTAAGCTGTGTTGCTACTTTCTGTTTGATGATAGTTTCAAATTTTACAAAACTCATTGTACACAGAAAATTTCGTCAATATTTCTTCAGTTCTAAGGAAGCAAATAATTTTATATTGGGTAGGAGGCTTCATAATGTTAAATTGTAGCTTTAAGGAATTTTTATGCAACTGCAAAAAAATTTTTGCGGTCGTATATTGGTAAGACGTTGGCATCGTCGTCGTTGTCCGAAGACACATTGGTTTTCGCACTCTAACTTTAGTTAAAGTGAATGGATCTCTATGAAATTTTACCATAAGGTTCAATACAACAAAAGGAAGCTTGGGATTGATTTTGGGGGTTATGATACCAACAGTTAAGGAATGAGGGGCCAAAAATAAGCATTTTTATACGACCGCAAAAAAATTTTTGTGGTCGTATATTGGTATGACGTTGGCGTCGTCGTTGTCCGGCGTCGTCCGAAGACACATTGGTTTTCGCACTCTAACTTTAGTTTAAGTGAATGGATCTCTATGAAATTTTACCACAAGGTTCAATACCACAAAAGGAAGGTTGGGATTGATTTTGGGGGTTATGGTACCAACAGTAAAGAATAAGGGGCCAAAAATAAGCATTTTTGTAACTTCCAGACATAACTTGTGTGTTAGTGTATGGATCTCTCTGACATTGTACCACAAGGTTCCATATCACAAAAGGAATGCTGGGATTGATTTTGGGGGTAATTGCCTCAAAATTTTAGGAATTAGGGGCCAAAAATAAGCATTTTTCTAGTTTTCAGACAATAACTTGTGTTCAAGTGTATGGATCTCTCTGAAATTGTACTGCAAGGTACCATACCACAAAGGGAAGGCTGGGATTGATGATGGGGGTAAATGCCTCAATATTTTAGGAATTAGGGGCCAAAAAGGGACAGGACAATAACTTGTGTGTAAGTGTATGGATCTTTCTGAAATTGTACTACAAGGTTCCATATCACAAAGGGAAAGCTGGGTTTGAGTTTGGGGGTAATTGCCCTAAACGTTTAGGAATTTGGGGCCAAAAAACACATTTTTCTAGTTTCCAGACAATAACTTGTGTTCAAGTGTATGGATCCTTCTGAAATTGTACTGCAAGGTACCATACCACAAAGGGAAGGCTGGGATTGAGTTTGGGGCTGATGAATCATAAGGGGGTTAAAAAAAAATTGGGGGGAGGAGTAGGGGTTTCCTTTTTTTTTTTTCTTTAAAATTTTCCATTTTAAATTGGTTATTTCTGATTTATATATAAAAGCAAATAATAATGATATGGTTTGAATAGGTAAATTAAAATTTTTTAAGTTCTTAGACCACATTCATTCTGTGTCAGAAACCTATGCTGTGTCAAATATTTAATCACAATCCAAATTCAGTGCTGTATCAAGCTTGAATGTTGTGTCCATACTTGCCCCAACTGTTCAAGGTTAGACCTCTGCCATCGTATCAAGCTGCGCCCAGCGGAGCATTTTATTACATCTGCTATGCAGACACCTCCTGTTTGACGATAATTTGAAAATTTACAACACTTATTGTACAAGGAAAATTAATATTCAAACATTTCATCCCTTAATATTACATGTATGAAAGCACTTTATTAAGTCCAATGAGCATTGATTTCATCTGTATCAGTTATGATTCAGTACATGTAACCTCGATCAATTGCATGAAGTGATGCAGGTCCATCATGGTGTTGGGCTTGTTTAAACAAATAGTGACCCTTTGACTCCTGGACAGTCCTGCTTCATGGTAGATATGAAGCTGATTTTAACAAAAATCGTAATGAGAATTTCAAATCTTTGATTTACTTTAAATTATGCACATAGCAGTATTTATTCAAAAATTTTAAAGGTAAAATTAAATAAAAGGAAAGTTTACATCGGACTGCAATTAAATTTTGGATACAGAAAAATGAGAATTGTCATAAGTTGAAGGAATATAGGTGAAATTACCGCTGACTAACAATTTTCTGGTTCATGTACAGAACAACAACAGCTTTTATTAACTTGTAACTTTGTAGAAAAAATATTATTATTTCATATTAAAGGTTATAGTAATAGTATGCAAACCTTTCTTTCCTTTTATTTTAGCTTGCTGAAGTGTTTGAGGGTGAAATTGATGCTGTAATGCAATCATTAGGTTACTGTTGTGGAAGGAAGCATGTTTTTAGTCCACAAGTACTATGCTGTTATGGCAAACAACTTTGTACCATATCAAGAGATGCTGTTTACTATAGTTTTCAAAATAGGTAAGTGTGTCAGATCACTGAAGCATTATCAATACATACATAAAACAACAAACCCAAATGAAAAAAAATAACCACTTAAAATGTTATTCTACTGATTGCTGTATAGGAAGAAATGCAGATATCTTCCTGTAAATACATCTTTAATACCGTATCAGTCTTAAGTATACGAGGAATTGTCCTGGAGAATATCTTCTCTTGATTGTAAAAATCCTACAAAATTGAAACAAGTATTGTGGAAGCTATTGCCAATGAGTTGTAACAGTTCTATAAATTGAAATCATTAATTTGTGCTTTGTATAGTTTATGTTCACATAATTGTACAGTGTATTTATGTTTATGGCTATTCCATTTAAATGAATGTTAGGATGGGGGAGGGACTTCCATAATCCAAATCAACAATACTTTGAGCAGTCCTTCAATCATTATTGGTGCACAAATCATGTCCAAAACTTCCCTACCTACCCTACCACATTCATTCAATAGAAGAGCCATTATTTATTTTCAATATTTCATGGTAAATTTTGATATAACCATGGATCAGTATTAATGTGTGCTTCATTTCAATATTATTATCAATTTTCATCACCATCATTGCTTGCTTGCACATTATTTTTGTGCCTGATGCTGTTCAGTAATAAAATCACATTGAAACGGGAAAAAAGGGCAAATGATAAATATATTAAGGACTGTTTCAGAATTTAACGCATGGGAGGCACTTTTTAGACCCCAACTACACATAATATAGAATTTCACTTGTCATTCTAATAAAATTCTAAGGATAATGTGACTCCCTACATTTAATTAATTTGATTGCCTCCCATACCCACAAGCACGATCAATTTGGATCAGCCCTGATATAACTTATGCAGCTATCAAAGAATTTTAAAAAAAAAGTACACACTCCTGATGTAAATTGCTATCAGGACATCTAGTTTTTATACGACCGCAAAAAAAATTTTGTGGTCGTATATTGGTATGACGTTGGCGCCATCGTCGCCGTCGTCCAAAGACACATTAGTTTTCGCACTCTAACTTTAGTTTAAGTGAATGGAAATTTTACCATAAGGTTCAATACCACAAAAGGAAGGTGGGAATTGATTTTGGGGGTTATGGTAACCACAGTTAAGGAATTAGGAGCCAAAAATAAGCATTTTTGTAACATCCAGACATAACTTGTGTGTAAGTGTATGGATCTCTCTGACATTGTACCACTAGATTCCATATCACAAAGGAAATGCTGGGAGTGATTTGGGGGGTAATTGCCTCCAAATTTTAGGAATTAGGGGCCAAAAAGGGTAAAAAAAACAAGCATTTTTCTAGTTTCATGACAATAACTTGTGTGTAAGTGTATGGATCTCTCTGACATTGTATCACAAGGTTCTATATCACAAAATGACTGCTGGGATTGATTTTGGGGGTAATTGCCTCCAAATTTTAGGAATTAGGGGCCAAAAAGGGGCAAAAAACAAGCATTTTTCTAGTTTCATGACAATAACTTGTGTGTAAGTGTATGGATCTTTATGAAATTGTACTACAAGGTTCCATATCACAAAGGGAATGGTGGAATTGAGTTTGGGGGTAATTGCCCAAAAAGTTTTAGGAATAAGGGGCCAAAAATAAGCATTTTTCTAGTTTCCAGACAATAACTTGTGTTCAAATGCATGGATCTCTCTGAAATTGTACTGCAAGGTAACATACCACAAAGGGAAGGCTGGGATTGATTTTGGGGGTAATTCCCTCAAAATTTTAGTAATTAGGGGCCATAAAAGGGCAAAAAAACAACCATTTTTCTAGTTTCAGGACTATAACTTGTGTGTAAGTGTATGGATCTTTATGAAAATGTACTGCAAGGTTCCATATCACAAAGGGAAAGCTGGATTTGAGTTTGGGGGTAATTGCCCTAAACGTTTAGGAATTTGGGGCCAAAAAGGGGCAAAAAAACAAGCATTTTTCTAGTTTCCGGACAATAACTTGTGATCAAGTGTATGGATCTCTCTGAAATTGTACTGCAAGGTACCATACCACAAAGGGAAAGCTGGGATTGAGTTTGGGGGTGATGAATCATAAGGGGGTTCAAAAAATTGGGGGGGGGGGGGGGGGGGGGTTTCCTTTTTTTTCTTTAAAATTTTCCATTTTAAATTGGTTATTTCTGATTTATATATAAAGCAAATAATAATGATATGGTTTTAATAGGTAAATTAAAAAATTTTAAGTTCTGAGACCACTTTCATTCTGTGTGAGAAATCTATGCTGTGTCTAACATTTAATTACAATCCAAATTCAGTGCTGTATCAAGCTTGAATGTTGTGTCCATACTTGCCCGAACTGTTCAGGGTTCCACCTCTGCGGTCGTATCAAGCTGCGCCCCAGCGGAGCATTTTATTAATTTGTATGTTTTTCAAAGTCTTTGAAACCTGAGCAGCTGAAGGTTCTTTCTTATATTGCTTTAAAAAGAACATGGAGAGGATACAGACAAGAAAGACTTTTTTTCTGTCCTTTCCCTCAAACTGAAACATTGTTTCTACATGTTACCTTTTGGTTTTTTTTAGCACATGTTCTTCCAATTACTATCAACCATCAGATCAGTTCTCACTGTCCTTTTTTAGCTCACCTGGCCCAAAGGGCCAAGTGAGCTTTTCTCATCACTTGGCGTCCGTCGTCAGCGTTAACTTTTTATACGACTGCAAAAAAAAATTTTGTGGTCGTATATTGGTATGACGTTGGCGTCGTCCGAAGACACATTGGTTTTCGCACTCTATCTTTAGTATAAGTGAATGAATCTCTATGAAATTTTACCACAAGGTTCAATACCAGAAAAGGAAGGTTGGGATTGATTTTGGGGGTTATGGGACCAACAGAAAGGAAAAAGGGGCCAAAAATAAGCATTTTTGTAATTTCCAGACATAACTTGTGTGTTAGTGTATGGATCTCTCTGACATTGTACCACAAGGTTCCATATCACAAAAGGAATGCTGGGATTGATTTTGGGGGTAATTGCCTCAAAATTTTAGGAATTAGGGGCCAAAAAAGGGGCAAAAAACAAGCATTTTTCTAGTTTCATGACAATAACTTGTGTGTAAATGTATGGATCTTTCTGAAATTGTACTACAAGGTTCCATATCACTAAGGGAAAGCTGGAATTGAGTTTGGGGGTAATTGCCTCAAAATTTTAGTAATTGGGGGCCAAAAAGGGGCCAAAAATAAGCATTTTTCTAGTTTCCAGACAATAACTTGTGTTCAAGTGTATGGATCTCTCTGAAATTGTACTGCAAGGTACCATACCACAAAGGGAAGGCTTGGATTGATGATGGGGGTAATTGCCTCAATATTTTAGGAATTAGGGGCCAAAAAGGGGCAAAAAACAAGCATTTTCTAGTTTCCAGACAATAACTTGTGTTCAAGTGTATGGATCTCTCTGAAATTGTACTGCAAGGTACCATACCACAAAGGGAAGGCTGGGATTGAGTTTGGGGGTGATGAATCATAAGGGGGTTCAAAAAATTTGGGGGGGGGATTTTTTTTTTTCCTTTTTTTTCCTTTTTTTTCTTTTTTTTTTCTTTTAAAATTTTCCATTTTAAGTTGGTTATTTCTGATTTATATTTAAAAGCAAATAATAATGATATGGTAGGAGATACACACCAAACAGGATGTGTAAATTATTATATAATAAGTATTGTGCAATAGCAAGAAATTTTCAATTGCACAGTCAGTAAGGGGTACTACTTGTACAAGTAATCTTTATTTACTTGAAGAAGTAAATAAAATATACTTATACAAGTTAATTATATTGTTTGAATAATCTCCCCTTAATTTTCGAAAAAATTTACTTGTATAAGTAAATTTTTTTTACAATCCCACAAAAATTCTCAAGTTTTGAGATGTAAAATCATGCCTTTAACAATTTTTCTCAGGTTAGCTCATAATTTTTGATAAGAGTTCAATGTTTCATCTCATTAATTCAACAAAGAAACTGATTGAGCAAAGAACTTAAGTATTTGCGCAAGGCCTTCAAAAATTTCTCCTTGGGGACTTGTAAATTAGCAGTGTTCTAAAGATAACAGACAAATGAGATTTTCCTTGTCCATGAAATTACACTTAAATGAATAGTAAAGACATCTGCAAAGGACAGACAATTTAAAATTCTGTTAGAGCAAAGAAGTTCTAAGAATTCAAGAAAAGAAGATAGGATGACTTTTTTACTTGTATAAGTAAAAAAATCTGAATGTCTAAGGGACATAACTAGGCCAAAAAATAATTTACTTATACAAGTAAATAAAATACACTTGTATAAGTATCCTACAAATTTACTTATATAAGTATATTATAATTACTTCCTCAAGTAAATAAAAATTACTTGTACAAGTAGTACCCCTGACTGACAGTATTGCACAATAGCAAGAAATCTTCAATTGCACAGTATTGCACAATAGCAAGAAATCTTCAATTGCACAGTATTGCACAATAGCAAGAAATATCCAATAGCACAATATTGCGCAATAGCAAGAAATTGTCAATTGTACAGTATTGCGCAATAGCAAGAAATATTTAATTGCACAGTATTGTGCAAAAGAAGATACTTCGTATAAATTGCTTATTTCTTGACCAATTTCAATGGGGTTTTATTCTTGAATTCTTGGGGTTCTTTAATATGCTGAATCTAACCGTGTATTTAGTTTTTGGATTTTGGGCCCCTTTTTAAATTGGTCCACATTGAGGTCCAAAGGGTCCAAAATTAAACTTTGTTTGATTTCATCAAAAATTGAATTATTGGGGTTCTTTGATATGCTGAATCTAACCGTGTATTTAGATTCTTAATTTTTGGTTCCGTTTTCAAATTGGTCTACATTAAGGTCCAAAGGGTCCAAAATTAAACTTAGTTTGATTTTAACAAAAATTGAATTCTTAGGGTTCTTTGATATGCTGAATCTAAACATGTATTTAGATTTTTGATTATGGGCCCAGTTTTCAAGTTGGTCCAAATAGGGGTCCAAAATTAAACTTTGTTTGATTTCAACAAAAATTGAATATATGGGGTTCTTTGATATGCTGAATCTAACCATGTATTTAGATTTTTGATTTTTGGGCCCCGTTATCAACTTTGTCCACATTGAGGTCAAAAGGGTTAAAAATTAAACTTTGTTTGATTTCATCAAAAATTGAATTATTGGGGTTCTTTGATATGCTGAATCTAAGCATGTATTTAGATTTTGGATATTGGACCATAATAGGTGAATGTCCAATTTAAAATTTTTAAGTTCTTAGACCACATTCATTCTGTGTCAGAAACCTATGCTGTGTCAAATATTTAATCACAATCCAAATGCAAAGCTGTATCAAGCTTGAATGTTGTGTCCATACTTGCCCCAACTGTTCAGAGTTCGACCTCTGCGGTCGTATCAAGCTGCGCCCTGCAGAGCATTTTATTACATTTTGAACTTCTTCTAGAGAACCACTGAATGGAATGAAACCAAACATGGCATGAATGTTCCTTATGAGGTGCTGACCAAGTGTTGTTACTTGGCAGTTGGTCCATCATCCAAGATGGCCGCCAGCGGGGGACTTAGTTTAACATAGGACCCTATGGGAAATACATACAAATGTCTTCTTTTAGAGAACCACTGAATGGAATGAAACCAAACATGGCATGAATGTTCCTTATGAGGTTCTAACCAAGTGTTGTTACTTTGTAGCCGATCCATCATCCAAGATGGCAGCCAGCGGGGGACTTAGTTTAACATAGGACCCTATGGGATACATACAAATGTCTTCTTTTAGAGAACCACTGAATGGAATGAAACCAAACATGGCATGAATGTTCATTATGAGGTGCTGACCAAGTGTTGTAACTTTGCAGTCGGTCCATCATCCAAGATGGCTGACAGCAGGGGACTTAGTTTAACAAAGGACCTATGGGAAATACATACAAATGTCTTCTTTTAGAGAACCACTGAATGGAATGAAACCAAACATAGCATGAATCTTCCTTATGAGATGCTGACCAAGTGTTGTTACTTTGTAGTCGATCCATCATCCAAGATGGCCGCCAGCGGGGGGACTTAGTTTTACATAGGACCCTTTGGGAAATACATAAAAATGCCTCCTTTAGAGAACCAATAAATGGAATGGAACCAAACATGGCATGAATGTTCCTTATGAGATGTTGACCAAGTGTTGTTACTTTGCAGCTGATCCATCATCCAAGATGGCCGACAGCGGGGGACTTAGTTTAACATAGGACCCTATGGGAAATACATACAAATGTCTTCTTTTAGAGTACCACTGAATGGAATGAAACCAAACATGGCATGAATGTTCCTTATGCAGTGCTGACCAAGTGTTGCTACTTTGTTGCTGATTTACTGTTCAAGATGGCCACCAGGATATTTTATTAAATAACGGGACCAATATTAATCAAAATTTGGCCTCAATCATTATTTGGGTATCTGTTATGATTTTTATCTATCTTTACATGATTTCTAAAACCAAAGTAGAGTCAGGTGAGCGACACAGGCTCTTGAGAGCCTCTAGTTTTGGTTTTCTCCTTTCTAGCCAACTTACCAGTGAATTTTGTTCACAATTTTATAACTTTGTTGTATTATTATAACATAATATCCAAGTTTGATATATTCACATTTTTATTTTTTGTGAATGTTACAGGAAAAAAATAGCTCTTAAATAAGTTGGTTTACAGTATATTATTACTGATAAATGACAGACTATTGTTTTTAATATGAAGGAAGTTATTTGATAGGTTTATTATACTGTAGGAATTCAAGGTGGCCAAAAAGTTACCTTTTAACTTCTGCCTTAAATTTTTTTATAAAAGGGTGTGTTTGTAAATGACTTTCAATTCTGGATCAAAGTATGGAAAATCAAACTGAGGGAAAATATAGTATTACATTGAAACATTTACATTAAATCATTTCTGTTTGCATAGAATACATGTCAAGTTTTATTTTCTACATGTTAGCTTACATAACATCTTCCTGATGGTCTAAATAATTAGAAATAAAACTGTTCATTTGGTTGACTTGTGAAATATCTTTTGATAGTACTAAATTCTTTTTCCTATCGAAAGTAGTTTTAAATTGTTGTAGTAGTGCTGTATAGCTGTAGTTATCATTTGTGTATTTTTTTCTTTTTCCCCAATTATTTTCTGCTTGTGCTGTGATGCTGTTGTATATTGCATTTTCATCATCCTCATCATCACCTTCAAAAATAAAACAGAAAACGGACAAATGGGCTTTATTCTGACAGATACATATACTGTGAAAAGTGCTTCAATGAAATCCAGGGTGATGAAGTGGAATTGGCAGATGACCCCACACAACCTGCTACGTAAGTAGAAATGTATAAAATTGTAATACATATATCAAAACATTAAAAGTAGATTTAATTTTATCACCCATCCCCACCACCTGCACAGTGAAAGGGATATTGATATAACAAAACACTCCCTTGGTCCATCACACTTTGTTAAAGCAGATATTTGAATTCATATGATTGGTTTCAAAGATTTCTACTGGAGGCAAACACATATGAAAAGGGGATTCATCAAATAATTTGGGGGAAAATTTTAGTTTTGACAATGATATTTAAGCCACTTAGGTCTTGGGGGCAAATGTCTCCTTTCTTTCAGGAGGGGTTCGTTCGTTAACATCAATGTTACCTTGTTTGTGGTAATTTTTTGTGATTTGGAAAATTGAGTGTTGGAGATCTCTGATAGCTTTTGTGAAATACATTGGCAATAATGGGGAAGGGGGAAGAGGGGGGAAAATTGAAGTGAACTTCTAAAACGACTTCTATATGTGGTTATCCCATTCATAACGTACCTTTCCTGGGTACCATGTTTGTTTTAAGGACTTATCTCTTTATGTCAAATTATTTTTCTGTTGAAAAATTTTTGACGACAGTAAAAAAAATATATGAATTATGGAGTAAAGGTTAGATGAGGTATATTAATCTACAACAAAAACTAGATTAATGGAGATATCACTTAAATGTTATTTGAAAAAATCTGCAAGTATCTTGGTCTATGACTTCAGGACGATAAATGATACAAAATCACAAAAAAAATGATTTGCTATGGTAAGAATTCATACATTGATTGTTGTTTGTTTAAGATTTATTGGGAATTTTCCCTACATGTGCAGGGCAAAGAAAAAACAAGTTAAATGATATTAAAGAATTTTTTGTGAACATTATTTAGATATCACGATTTTTTTCTGTATATATGATATATATGTGTAAATGATAGAACTCTATTAAATTTCCAATTTTATGATTTCAGGAGAATTAAGAAAAATCAGTTTGAAAGAATGAAAAATGACCAGTTGGACTATGAACCGTAAGTCTCAGAATTAATTATCAATACCATTATTTTATATCCAGAATGTAAATGATGCAGTATCTTCACAACCATTTAAGTACTCAGATTGAATGGTAAACACTTACACGTTACATTTGTACAAATGGTTTTAAGTCACATAGTTGAAATTTAATAATTTAATATAAATGCATGAATTTCATTGAAAATTAACACAACACTATAAAGCATCAGTTAAATGTGGTACATTCTAAAGAGGGATTTTAGTAGCATTGTAGTAGTTACAGATACACTTTCAGAAGTAAAAATGGCTAAAACTATAATTTTAAAAAATGAAGTACTTTCAGTTGCTTTAATGTACATGTTAATTATGATTATTGTCAGTTGATTATACCTGACTGAAAGGTGTGAACTGACCTTCACCTCATCATACCCCTTTTTTCTCAGAGCTTCCTGAAATTTGGTATAAAGCTTTGCATTGGGCATGCAATACCATGTTATCCATTTTCACATCCAAAGGTCATCTACTTCCTGTTTACAAAGCACTTAATAGTGTATCATTAGTGAGCAATATCTCTTGAATATATAGCTAGAAAAATTCTAAAAAGGTCAAGTCTAGGGAATTAAATAGGTGAAATAGGGTAAGAGAGTGGTCATTGTTGATCAAAATTATGGTGAGTAATTCAGATTGTGTAGTTCTTTCTAAAGCCTCTGTCTTTTCTACATTAAATAATGATGTACCAAGGTCAACATCTGTAGGAATGTTACTGTATAATAAGTTAACTTATGTACATGATTGGAAGAAATCTCACTAACTTTGTGCTAAATTTAGAATTATAATTCAACTGTGTGTTTCATTTTTATTTTCTTTGTTATTACAGATTTGTTGAGTGTGAAGAATGTGGAAGAAAGCTGCATCAAATTTGTGTGCTTCATTTTGAACAGATATGGCCTAATGGGTAATGTATTGCATCATAATGTTGTTTAATAGACTGTAGAATGAAAGTAACAAGAAGTGACTGACTTTATGAAAAACTACACAAATTAAATGATTGAAGCATGAATGTTATAACACAACCTTTCTTCAAATTATTGACTAAATAGTGCAAAAACGAATGTATATGCATATCTGGGCTGTATGTGTTTGTACAACTTGTTTTTATGCCCCACCGTAGGCAATGGCGGCATTAAGTGTTGCTCTTGACCGTCCCACCCATTTTCCCCACTCTAAAGTAAGTTTTCCTCATCCAAATTTTATGAAACTAATACACAATGCTAAGAACCAAAACTTGCAGACAGTTTCGAATTTGGGCAGAGAGTCACTTACCGTTCTAAAGTTATGCCCCTTTTTTGACTTGGAAAATTGCTACTTTTTAGCTCACCTGGCCCAAAGGGCCAAGTGAGCTTTTCTCATCACTTGGCGCCCGTCGTCCGTCGTCGTCTTCTTCTCTGAAACTACTGAGACAAATTTAACCATACTTGGACATAATCATTATTAGGGTATCTAGTTTAAAAAATTTGTCCGATGACCCCGCCTTGTAACCATCATGGCCGACTCGGTTAAAAATAGAACATAGGGGTAAAATGCAGTTTTTATACGCCCGTTTACGGGACGTATTATGGTGTACAACATGTCGGACATTAATTCAAAAACGCTGTAACCAATTTGCATGAAACTTTGGTGAATTGTTTATATCTATTGACGTGAGCTCCCTTTCGTTTTTTATAAATTTCAGATTTATCATTTCTGAGTTTTGGGGTTTTATTCATTAAAAAAGGGGGGATTTTCCAGTTTTCGGACAATAACTCAAAAAATATTTCACCAATTTGCATGAAACTTTTTGTGAATTGTTCATATCTATTGACCTGAGCTCCCTTTAGTTTTTTATAAATTTCGTATTTACTGTTTCAGAGTTTTGGGGTTTTATTCATTAAAAAAGGGGGGATTTTCCAGTTTTCAGACAATAACTCAAAAACAATTTTACCAATTTGCAAGAAACTTTGGTGAATTGTTTGTTTCTATCGACATGAGCTCCCTTTTGATTTTTATAAATTTCAGACTATACGTTTCTGATTAATGGGGTTTTATTCATTACGAAAAGGGGGATTTTCCAGTTTTCAGACAATAATTCAAAAATGCTTTCAGCATTTTTATGACACTTTGGTAAATTGTTTATATCTATTTTTGTAAGCTCCCTTTTGATTTTTATAAATTTTCGATTTTACATTTCCGAGTTATAAGATTTTATTTGTTTATAGTCTGACAACAGATTTACTAGTAATGAATCTAATGCGCAACAGCACAGTGTATTGCACAACAGCAAGAAATCTTTCATATAACCAATTTCAAGTTCTCTGACTACATTTATTCAGAAACCTATAATATATCAAATATTTAATTACAATCCAAATTCAGACCTGTATCAAGCTTGAATATTGTGTCCATTTTTGCCCAAACTGTTCAGGGTTGGACCTCTGCGGGCGTATCCAGCTGCGCTCAGCGAAGCAGTTTATTGGTTTATATCTCTGAAACTAAAGCATTCAGAGCAAATCTGACAGGTGGCAAAAATGTTCATCAGATTTAGATTTATCCGCCCAGAAATTTTCAGACGAATCCGACAAACCCTTGTTGGGTTGCTGCCCCTGAATTAGTAATTTTACAAAAATTTTGCAGTTTTTATACGACCGCAAATTGCGGTCGTATATTGGTATGACGTTGTCGTCGTCGTTGTCGGCGTCGTCCGAAGACACATTGGTTTTCGCACTCTAACTTTAGTATAAGTGAATGAATCTCTATGAAATTTTACCATAAGGTTCAATACCACAAAAGGAAGGTTGGGATTGATTTTGGGGGTTATGGTACCAACAGTTAAGGAATAAGGGGCCAAAAATAAGCATTTTTGTAACTTCCAGACATAACTTGTGTGTTAGTGTATGAATCTCTCTGACATTGTATCACAAGATTCCATATCACACAGGGAATGCTGGGATTGATTTTGGGGGTAATTGCCTAAAAATATTAGGAATTAGGGGCCAAAAAAAGGGGCAAAAAACAAGCATTTTTCCAGTTTCATGACAATAACTTGTGTGTAAGTGTATGGATCTTTCTGAAATTGTACTACAAGGTTCCATATCACAAAGGGAAAGCTGGAATTGAGTTTGGGGGTAATAGCCCAAAACGTTTAGGAATAAGGGGCCAAAAAGGGTCCAAAAATAATCATTTTTCTAGTTTCCAGACAATAACTTGTGTTCAAGTGTATGGATCTCTGTGAAATTGTACCACAAGTATCCATATCACACAGGGAATGCTGGGATTGATTTTGGGGGTAATTGCCTCAAAATATTAGGAATTAGGGGCCAAAAAAGGGGCAAAAAACAAGCATTTTTCCAGTTTCATGACAATAACTTGTGTGTAAGTGTATGGATCTTTCTGAAATTGTACTACAAGGTTCCATATCACAAAGGGAAAGCTGGAATTGAGTTTGGGTGTAATTGCCCAAAACGTTTAGGAATAAGGGGCGAAAAAGGGTCCAAAAATAAGCATTTTTCTAGTTTCCAGACAATAACTTGTGTTCAAGTGTATGGATCTCTCTGAAATTGTACTGCAAGGTACCATACCACAAAGGGAAGGCTGGGATTGATTTTGGGGGTAATTGCCTAATCTAACTGTGTATTTAGATTCTTAATTTTTTGTCCTGTTTTCAAATTTGTCTACATTAAGGTCCAAAGGGTCCAAAATTAAACTTAGTTTGATTTTAACAAAAATTGAATTCTTGGGGTTCTTTGATATGCTGAATCTAAACATGTACTTAGTTTTTTCATTATGGGCCCAGTATTCAAGTTGGTCCAAATCGGGGTCCAAAATTAAACTTTGTTTGATTTCAACAAAAATTGAATATAAGGGGTTCTTCGATATGCTGAATCTAATCATATATTTAGATTTTTGATATTTGGGCCCGGTTATCAAATTGGTTCACATTGAGGTTTAAAGGGTCCAAATTGAACTTTATTTGATTTCATCAAAAATTGAATTCTTGGGGTTCTTTGATATGCTGAATCTAACCATGTATTTAGATTTTGGATATTGGAATACCACAAAGGGATGGTAAGAATTGTCTTTGGGAGTTATGGCTCAAACCGTTAAGGAATAAGGTGCAAAAAAGGGGGGAAAAGGGTTTCCAGGTTTATTTATTGCTCATCTATTCTATTAGTATCAATTGAGAACAACAGTATTTATATTCCGGAATACATTATATTGTATAAATATTCCTAAATTACTTTATAAATATGAAATGTCTCCTAGAAAATACTTCATCTGCATAATATCTCAATTGAAAGTAACATTCATATGTGAGCTTGCTCTTATGTTGTTTGATTTTTTTGCAGATTTACCTGTGATAATTGTTATAAAGCCAGAGGATCAAAAAGAAAAGAAAACCGGTATTCTGCCAGAAGTAAGTAAAATATACACATAGATTACAATTGAACTTATTGAGGTTATATTATGACACATGCATATTTTGAGTTCTTTTTATCTTAACAATCCTCATGAAAATTAATAGTTATCATTGAGTCAATGGTATAAAAATCATAACTTTTTATCTGCAGATTCAAAGGTTCAATCTGTTTTTGTCCAATGTCTGTCAAAATTTTGTTTAGGAATCGCTTTGTTATGTGTTGCATTAATCAGTATTGAATAGGGGAATAAGAAGACCTTTTCTAGGTCAACTGTTATTTGATGTTTAGAGTTGTCCATGTGTTTGACTGGTTACACCTGACATTCATTTCATGAAAGTGATGAGTTACAATGTGTGAGCACTTTCTGAATCTGTCAGATACCTATTTCCTTGTGTTTATATACAAGTAACTTGAAGTAAGACCTATTATTATACGACCGCAAAAATTGAAAATTTTTTGGTCGTATATTGGTATGACGTTGGCGTCGTCGTCGTCGTCGTCGTCGTCGTTGTCGTCGTCGTCGTCGTCGTCGTCGTCGTCGTCTGGCGTCGTCCGGCGTCGTCCGAAGACACATTGGTTTTCGCACTCTAACTTTAGTTTAAGTGAATGGATCTCCATGAAATTTTACCATAAGGTTCAATACCACGAAAGGAAGGTGGGGATTGATTTTGGGGGTTATGGTACCAACAGTTAAGGAATTAGGGGCCAAAAAGGGGCCAAAAATAAGCATTTTTGTAACTTCCAGACAATAACTTGTGTGTAAGTGTATGGATCTCTCTGACATTGTACCACAAGGTTCCATATCACAAAGGGAAGGCTGTAATTGATTTTGGGGGTAATTGCCTCAAAATTTTAGGAATTAGGGGCCAAAAAAGGGGCAAAAAACAAGCATTTTTCTAGTTTCATGACAATAACTGGTGTGTAAGTGTTTGGATATTTCTGAAATTGTACTACAAGGTTCCATATCACAAAGGGAAAGCTGGAATTGAGTTTGGGGGTAATTGCCCGAAACGTTTAGGAATTGGGGGCCAAAAAGGGGCCAAAAATAAGCATTTTTCTAGTTTCCAGACAATAACTTGTGTTCAAGTGTATGGATCTCTCTGAAATTGTACTGCAAGGTACCATACCACAAAGGGAAGGCTGGGATTGAGTTTGGGGGTGATGAATCATAAGGGGGTTCAAAAAATTTGGGGGGGGGGGATTTTTTTTTTTATTTTTTTTTCTTTTTTTCCTTTTTTTTTTCTTTTAAAATTTTCCATTTTAAGTTGGTTATTTCTGATTAATATTTAAAAGCAAATAATAATGATATGGTAGGAGATACACACCAAACAGGATGTGTTAATTATTATATAATAAGTATTGTGCAATAGCAAGAAATTTTCAATTGCACAGTATTGCACAATTGCAAGAAATCTTCAATTGCACAGTATTGCGCAATAGCAAGAAATCTTCAATTGCACAGTATTGCGCAATAGCAAGAAATATCCAATAGCACAATATTGCGCAATAGCAAGAAATTGTCAATTGTACAGTATTGCACAATAGCAAGAAATATTCAATTGCACAGTATTGTGCAAAAGAAGATACTTCGTATAAATTGCTTATTTCTTGATCAATTTCAATGGGGTTTTATTCTTGAATTCTTGGGGTTCTTTAATATGCTGAATCTAACCGTGTATTAAGTTTTTGGATTTTGGGCCCCGTTTTTAAATTGGTCCACATTGAGGTCCAAAGGGTCCAAAATTTAACTTTGTTTGATTTCATCAAAAATTGAATTATTGGGGTTTTTTGATATGCAGAATCTAACCGTGTATTTAGATTCTTAATTTTTGGTTCCGTTTTCAAATTGGTCTACATTAAGGTCAAAAGGGTCCAAAATTAAACTTAGTTTGATTTTAACAAAAATTGAATTTTTAGGGTTCTTTGATATGCTGAATCTAAACATGTATTTAGATTTTTGATTATGGGCCCAGTTTTCAAGTTGGTCCAAATCGGGGTCCAAAATTAAACTTTGTTTGATTTCAACAAAAATTGAATATATGGGGTTCTTTGATATGCTGAATCTAACCATGTATTTAGATTTTTGATTTTTGGGCCCCGTTATCAACTTTGTCCACATTGAGGTCAAAAGGGTCCAAAATTAAACTTTGTTTGATTTCATCAAAAATTGAATTATTGGGGTTCTTTGATATGCCGAATCTAACCGTGTATTTAGATTCTTAATTTTTGGTTCCGTTTTCAAATTGGTCTACATTAAGGTCCAAAGGGTCCAAAATTAAACTTTGTTTGATTTCATCAAAAATTGAATTATTGGGGTTCTTTGATATGCCAAATCTAACCGTGTATTTAGATTTTTAATTTTGGGTCCTGTTTTTAAATTGGTCTACATTAAGGTCCAAAGGGTCCAAAATTAAACGTAGTTTGATTTTAACAAAAATTGAATTCTTGGGGTTCTTTGATATGCTGAAAATAAACATGTGTTTAGATTTTTGATTTTTGGGCCCCGTTATCAACTTTGTCCACATTGAGGTCAAAAGGGTCCAAAATTAAACTTTGTTTGATTTCATCAAAAATTGAATTCTTGGGGTTCTTTGATATGCTGAATCTTACCATGTATTTAGATTTTTTATTTGTTGACCCGCTATCAAATTGGTTCATATTGAGGTCAAAAGGGTCCAAAATTAAACTTTGTTTGATTTCATCAAAAATTGAATTATTGGGGTTCTTTGATATGCCAAATCTAACCGTGTATTTAGATTTTTAATTTTGGGTCCTGTTTTTAAATTGGTCTACATTAAGGTCCAAAGGGTCCAAAATTAAACGTAGTTTGATTTTAACAAAAATTGAATTCTTGGGGTTCTTTGATATGCTGAAAATAAACATGTGTTTAGATTTTTGATTATGGGCCCAGTTTTTAAGTTGGTCCAAGTTGGGGTCCAAAATTAAACTTTGTTTGATTTCAACAAAAATTGAATATATGGGGTTCTTTGATATGCTGAATCTAAACATGTATTTAAATTTTAGATTTTTGGCCCAGTTTTCAAGTTGGTCCAAATTGGGGTCCAAAATTAAACTTTGTTTGATTTCAACAAAAATTGAATATATGGGGTTCTTTGATATGCTGAATCTTACCATGTATTTAGATTTTTTATTTGTGGGCCCGCTATCAAATTGGTTCATATTGAGGTCAAAAGGGTCCAAAATTAAACTTTGTTTGATTTCATCAAAAATTTAATTATTGGGGTTCTTTGATATGCCAAATCTAACCGTGTATTTAAATTTTTAATTTTGGGTCCCGTTTATTAAATTGGTCTACATTAAGGTCCAAAGGGTCCAAAATTAAACTTAGTTTGATTTTAACAAAAATTGAATTTTTGGGGTTCTTTGATATGCTGAATCTAAACATGTGTTTAGATTTTTGATTATGGGACCAGTTTTCAAGTTTGTCCAAGTGGGGGTCCAAAATTAAACTTTGTTTGATTTCAACAAAAATTGAATATATGGGGTTCTTTGATATGCTGAATCTAAACATGTATTTAGATTTTAGATTTTTGGCCCAGTTTTCAAGTTGGTCCAAATTGGGGTCCAAAATTAAACTTTGTTTGATTTCAACAAAAATTGAATATATGGGGTTCTTTGATATGCTGAATCTTACCATGTATTTAGATTTTTTATTTTGTGGGCCTGCTATCAAATTGGTTCATATTGAGGTCAAAAGGGTCCAAAATTAAACTTTGTTTGATTTCATCAAAAATTGAATTATTGGGGTTCTTTGATATGCCAAATCTAACCGTGTTTTTAGATTTTTAATTTTGGGTCCCGTTTTTTAAATTGGTCTACATTAAGGTCCAAAGGGTCCAAAATTAAACTTAGTTTGATTTTAACAAAAATTGAATTCTTGGGGTACTTTGATATGCTGAATCTAAACATGTGTTTAGATTTTTGATTATGGGACCAGTTTTCAAGTTTGTCCAAGTTGGGGTCCAAAATTAAACTTTGTTTGATTTCAACAAAAATTGAATATATGGGGTTCTTTGATATGCTGAATCTAACCATTTATTTTGATTTTGGACATTGGACCATAATAGGTAAATTAAAAAAATTGAAGTTCTTAGACCACATTCTTTCTGTGTCAGAAACCTATGCTGTGTCAAATATTTAATCACAATCCAAATTCAGAGCTGTATCAAGCTTGAATGTTGTGTCCATACTTGCCCCAACTGTTCAGGGTTCGACCTCTGCGGTCGTATCAAGCTGCGCCCAGCGAAGCATTTTATCTTTTGTCTGTTATTAAAGATTGTAATATAAAGTACTAACAGTGACCTAGTGATTGTGGTTGATAATTTGATGCCCTCTCTTCAAAATAAATTTCATATTGGCTCATACAGAAATAATGTTTAAATTCTTTTTATTATTTTTATGCCCCCGCGTAGCAGAGGGGGCATTAAGTTTTACCCTTGTCCGTCTGTACGTACGTACGTCCGTCCGTACGTCCCGAAATTGGTTTCCGTTCTCTAACTTGAGTTTGCCTCAACCAAATGTTATGAAACTTATACACAATGCTTATTACCACAAAACACAGATCAAGTTTGAATTTTGGTGGCGTCACTTTAACCGATCTAGAGTTATGCCCCTTTATAAAAGGAAAAATTGCAAAATTTTTATTTTCTTCTAAATATCAAGTTTATATAATATATTTTTATACAACCGCAAAAAAATTTTGTGGTCGTATATTGGTATGACGTTGGCGTCGTCGTCGTCCGAAGACACATTGGTTTTCGCACTTTAACTTTAGTTTAAGTGAATGGATCTCTATGAAATTTTACCACAAGGTTCAATACCACAAAAGGAAGGTTGGGATTGATTTTGGGGGTTATGGTACCAACAGTAAAGGAATTAGGGGCCAAAAATAAGCATTTTTGTAACTTCCAGACATAACTTGTGTGTTAGTGTATGGATCTCTCTGACATTGTACCACAAGGTTCCATATCACAAAAGGAATGCTGGGATTGATTTTGGGGGTAATTGCCTCAAAATTGTAGGAATTAGGGGCCAAAAAAGGGGCAAAAAACAAGCATTTTTATACGACCGCAAAAAAATTTTGTGGTCGTATATTGGTATGACGTTGGCGTCGTCGTCGTCGTCGTCCGAATACATATTGGTTTTCGCACTCTAACTTTAGTTTAAGTGAATGGATCTTTTTGAAATTTGACCATAAGGTTAAATACCACAAAAGGAAGGTTGGGATTGATTTTGGGGGTTATGGTACCAACAGTTAAGGAATTAGGGGCCAAAAAGGGGCCAAAAATGAGCATTTTCTAGTTTCAAGACAATAACTGTGGAACGGTGTATGGATCTCTCTGAAATTATACTACAAGTTTCCATACCACAAAGGGATGGTTAGGATTTGCTTTGGGGGGTTATGGCTCAAACTGTTTAGGAATTAGGGGCAAAAAAGGGGGAAAAACAAGGTTGTCCTGGTTAATGGACAAATACTTTAGTACAAAACATAATTTAAAGCAGTGTAAGGGAGATAAATCAAATACATCATTGAAATTATCTCCCTTACACTGCTTTTAAATTATGTATAAAGTAATGGTTAATGAACAATAAAGATAATCTAAAACAGTGTAAGGGAGGTAATCCAAATACAACGTTTTGGTTACTTCCCTTACACTGCTTTTAAATTATGTTTAAAGAAATGCATATTTATAAAGGAAGACCAGTAAAAATATCTGCAAATGTTTTCATCTTTTTTTTTTACAAAAAAATCCATATGAAAGATTTGACACTATATTTTTATTAATTCTATTATAAAATAGATTAAGTTAGCACTATGGTAAATTTAAATGGGTAATTATGGTTGCCAACTCCATTGGAAATTTGAATTGAGATTATGACCATATCTTGAGGGAAAGAATTTTTTTGGGGGAAAAAGGGGGGGGGGGGGGGATAAAAAGAAATTGTGGGGGGCCAATTTTTTCTCATTTCAGATTTCAGAAATTAAAAAGAATTATTCTTCAAATATTATTTTTTTTTCAAATTTCAAATATTGAAAAATTTCAAGAAGTAATCTTTAATTGCACAGTATGGCGCATTAGATTTGTAAAATCTTTGATCACATTTATTTATTTGTTATGCCGAATCTAACAGTGTATTTAAATTTTTAATTTTGGGTCCAGTTTTCAAATTGGTCTACATTAATGTCCAAAGGGTCCAAAATTAAACTTTGTTTGATTTTAGCAAAAATTGAATATATGAGGTTCTTTGATATGCTGAATCTAAACATGTATTTAGATTTTTGATTTTTGGCCCAGTTTTCAAGTTGGTCCAAATTGGGGTCCAAAATTAAACTTTGTTTGATTTCAACAAAAATTGAATATATGGGGTTCTTTGATATGCTGAATCTAACCATGTATTTAGATTTTTTATTTGTGGACCCCGTTATCTAATTGGTTCTTATTGAGGTCAAAAGGGTCCAAAATTAAACTTTGTTTGATTTCATCTAAAATTGAATTATTGGGGTTCTTTGATATTCCAAATCTAACCGTGTATTTAGGTTTTTAATTTTGGGTCCTGTTTTTTAAATTGGTCTACATTGAGGTCCAAAGGGTCCAAATTAAACTTAGTTTGATTTTAACAAAAATTGAATTCTTTGGGTTCTTTGATTTGCTGAATCTAAACATGTGTTTAGATTTTTGATTATGGGCCCAGTTTTCAAGTTGGTCCAAGATAGGGTCCAGTATTTAAACTTTGTTTGATTTCAACAAAAATTGAATATATGGGGTTCTTTGATATGCTGAATCTATACATGTATTTAGATTTTTGATTATGGGCCCAGTTTTCAAGTTGGTCCAAATTGGGGTCCAAAATTAAACTTTGTTTGATTTCAACAAAAATTGAATATATGAGGTTCTTTGACAGCTGAATCTAACCATGTATTTAGATTTTTTATTTGTAGGCCCCGCTATCAAATTGGTTCATATTGAGGTCAAAAGGGTCCAAAATTAAACTTTGTTTGATTTCATCGAAAATTGAATTATTGGGGTTCTTTGATATGCCAAATCTAACCGTGTTTTTAGATTTTTAATTTGGGTCCCGTTTTTTTAAATTGGTCTTCATTGAGGTCCAAAGGGTCCAAAATTAAACTTAGTTTGATTTCATCAAAAATTGAATTCTTGGGGTTCTTTGATATGCTGAATCTAAACATGTGTTTAGATTTTTGATTATGGGCCAACTTTTCAAGTTGTTCCAAGTTGGGGTCCAAAATTATACTTTTTTTTATTTCAACAAAAATTGAATATATGGGGTTCTTTGATATGCTGAATCTAACCATGAATTTAGATTTTTTATTTGTGGGCCCCGCTATCAAATTGGTTCATATTGAGGTCAAAAGGGTCCAAAATTAAACTTTGTTTGATTTCATCAAAAATTGAATTATTGGGGTTCTTTGATATTCCAAATCTAACAGTGTATTTAGATTTTTAATTTTAAGTCCCGTTTTTTAAATTGGTCTACATTAAGGTCCAAAGGGTCCAAAATTAAACTTAGTTTGATTTTAGCAAAAATTGAATTCTTGGGGTTCTTTGATGTGCTGAATCTAAACATGTGTTTAGATTTTTGATTATGGGCCCAGTTTTCAAGTTTGTCCTAGTTGGGGTCCAAAATTAAACTTTGTTTGATTTTAACAAAAATTGAATATATGGGGTTCTTTGATATGCTGAATCTAACCATGTATTTTGATTTTGGACATTGGACCATAATAGGTAAATTAAAAAAATTCAAGTGCTTAGACCACATTCTTTCTGTGTCAGAAACCTATGCTGTGTCAAATATTTAATAACAATCCAAATTCAGAGCTGTATCAAGCTTGAATGTTGTGTCCATACTTGCCCCAACTGTTCAGGGTTCGACCTCTGCGGTCGTATCAAGCTGCGCCCCAGCGAAGCATTTTATTAAGATTGGAGTTATCTTCCTTTGACCATGATTATAGTTGAATCAACTACAATCAATGCTTTATACAATGCAATGTTTAATTTTGACTTCCACTGATAAAACACAGATCAAGTTGAATTTGGGTAGTGTCACTTTAACCATTATTGAGTTATGCCCCTTTATAAATAGAAAGATTGCAAAATTTTTTAGTTTCTATTCTGTAACTGAAGTTTTCCCCAGCCAAACATTATGAAACCTATACACAATATTCATTACCACAAAACTCAGTAAGGATCAAGTACAATTTTTTTGTTTCAGTTCTCTAACTTGAGTTTGCCTCAACCAAATGTTATGAAACTTATACACAATGCATATTACTACATAATACAGATTAAGTACGAAATTAGGTGGCAACACTTTTACCATTCTAGAGTTATTTATATTGCTTTTGCAGATATACAAATGTCAGGACTACCACCTACGAAATTAGGAACATACTTGGAAAATAGAGTTAATAATTTTTTACGAAAAAAGGATGCAGGTGCTGGAGAAGTTTTTATCAAAGTTATATCTTGTACAGACAAAGTTGTAGAGGTTAAACCTGGAATGAAAGCAAGGTAAACATACTTATTTCCTTAACATCTGTAGTTGATATGTCTATATTTCTATTATTTTACCTTTTGTCTATATTTTGTTCATGTCACCAGAAAATCCTGTATTACAATTTAATGATGTTGAAAATATTTAACATGACAATATTAAGTTTGACCTGGAGTTATGAAAATTTTAGAATTTGACCAAATTTGATATCAATTAGCTTCCAGTGTCCAATGGGCCATGTGAGCTATTGCAGTTACTTGGCATACATCTTAATCTTAAACTTTTACCATAATCTTCTCTGAAACTACTGGTCATCCTACAGTGGGGTTTGATCCATCAACAAACATGGCCACTCTTGCTTGAAATAGAATAGAATGGTCAGCATATGCTTTGGTTTATATCCTAAAGTAATTTTCACAAACTTACGTAGTGTATGAAAGATGGCTTTCATTGTTGCATATGATTTTAATGTTGCATGTTTTTGTCAGGTGAGTGATGCATGTTCCTAGGAGCCTTTAGTGATGAACATATTTATTGACAAATTAAGCTTTATTTATCCTAATAAAATTGAGAATGGAAATGGGGAATGTGTCAAAGAGACAACAACCCGACCAAAGAGCAGAAAACAGCTCAAGGCCACCAATGGGTCTTCATCACACAAGAAAATCCTGCACCTGGAGGTGGGATTCTAGTTCAGTGACAATGGACGTCACACTAAACTCCGAAACATATAAATGAACTAAAATTAAAAAAACATACAAGACTAACTAACCTAAGCCTATACTGTGTAGTGAAGGGTTTAAACAGTAAGTGGCCAGAAAACTTAAAAGAAATAAAAAAAGTAACTCAAGTATGAGCCTTTATCTTTTCTTTTGTTTACTTTGTTGAGTGAGAGAAAAAAGTAATTTGACAATTGAGTGTTTTTATCTTTGTTCTTTTGTAGATTTGTTGATAATGGTGAAATGGTACCAGAATTTCCATACAGAGCAAAAGCGATGTTTGCCTTTGAGGAAATAGATGGTGTTGATGTCTGTTTTTTTGGGATGCATGTTCAGGAGTACGACTCCAATTGTTATGCACCAAATAATAGGTTAGTACTTCCCATTGATCCATACTTTGCTAAAACCTGCCAAATTTTAAGACAGCCCTTCAATGATGTAAAAAAAATTGAATCATCAAGCCATTGGTAATGTACTATTTGAAAGAATGCTTTAAAATATATCATCTTGTACTACACTCACCACAACATATTTTCCATGCTTCTTGAGCATAACTTCATTTTTATACGACCGCAAAAATTGAAAATTTTTTGGTCGTATATTGGTATGACGTTGGCGTCGTCGTCGTCGTCGTTGTCGTCGTCGGCGTCGTCCGAAGACACATTGGTTTTCGCACTCTAACTTTAGTTTAAGTGAATGGATCTCCATGAAATTTTACCATAAGGTTCAATACCATGAAAGGAAGGTTGGGATTGATTTTGGGGGTTATGGTACCAACAGTTAAGGAATTAGGGGCCAAAAAGGGGCCAACAATAAGCATTTTTGTAACTTCCAGACAATAACTTGTGTGTAAGTGTATGGATCTCTCTGACATTGTACCACAAGGTTCCATATCACAAAGGGAAGGCTGTAATTGATTTTGGGGGTAATTGCCTCAAAATGTTAGGAATTAGGGGCCAAAAAAGGGGCAAAAAACAAGCATTTTTCTAGTTTCATGACAATAACTTGTGTGTAAGTGTTTGGATATTTCTGAAATTGTACTACAAGGTTCCATATCACAAAGGGAAAGCTGGAATTGAGTTTGGGGGTAATTGCCCGAAACGTTTAGGAATTGGGGGCCAAAAAGGGGCCAAAAATAAGCATTTTTCTAGTTTCCAGACAATAACTTGTGTTCAAGTGTATGGATCTCTCTGAAATTGTACTGCAAGGTACCATACCACAAAGGGAAGGCTGAGATTGAGTTTGGGGGTGATGAATCATAAGGGGGTTCAAAAAATTTTGGGGGGGGGATTTTTTTTTTCTTTTTTTCCTTTTTTTTTTCTTTTAAAATTTTCCATTTTAAGTTGGTTATTTCTGATTTATATTTAAAAGCAAATAATAATGATATGGTAGGAGATACACACCAAACAGGATGTGTAAATTATTATATAATAAGTATTGTGCAATAGCAAGAAATTTTCAATTGCACAGTATTGCACAATAGCAAGAAATCTTCAATTGCACAGTATTGCGCAATAGCAAGAAATCTTCAATTGCACAGTATTGCGCAATAGCAAGAAATATCCAATAGCACAATATTGCGCAATAGCAAGAAATTGTCAATTGTACAGTATTGCGCAATAGCAAGAAATAATCAATTGCACAGTATTGTGTATAAATTGCTTATTTCTTGATCAATTTCAATGGGGTTTTATTCTTGAATTCTTGGGGTTCTTTAATATGCTGAATCTAACCGTGTATTAAGTTTTTGGATTTTGGGCCCCGTTTTTAAATTGGTCCACATTGAGGTCCAAAGGGTCCAAAATTTAACTTTGTTTGATTTCATCAAAAATTGAATTATTGGGGTTCTTTGATATGCCGAATCTAACCGTGTATTTAGATTCTTAATTTTTGGTTCTGTTTTCAAATTGGTCTACATAAAGGTCCAAAGGGTCCAAAATTAAACTTAGTTTGATTTCAACAAAAATTGAATATATGGGGTTCTTTGATATGCTGAATCTAACCATGTATTTAGATTTTTGATTATGGGCCCAGTTTTCAAGTTGGTCCAAATCGGGGTCCAAAATTAAACTTTGTTTGATTTCAACAAAAATTGAATATATGGGGTTCTTTGATATGCTGAATCTAACCATGTATTTAGATTTTTGATTATGGGCCCAGTTTTCAAGTTGGTCCAAATCGGGGTCCCAAATTAAACTTTGTTTGATTTCAACAAAAATTGAATATATTGGGTTCTTTGATATGCTGAATCTAACCATGTATTTAGATTTTTGATTGTTGGGCCCGTTATCAACTTTGTCCACATTGAGATCAAAAGGGTCCAAAATTAAACTTTGTTTGATTTCATCAAAAATTGAATATATGGGGTTCTTTGATATGCTGAATCTAACCATGTATTTAGATTTTTGATTATGGGCCCAGTTTTCAAGTTGGTCCAAATCGGGGTCCAAAATTAAACTTTGTTTGATTTCAACAAAAATTGAATATATGGGGTTCTTTGATATGCTGAATCTAACCATGTATTTAGATTTTTTATTATGGGCCCAGTTTTCAAGTTGGTCCAAATCGGGGTCCAAAATTAAACTTTGTTTGATTTCAACAAAAATTGAATATATGGGGTTCTGTTATATGCTGAATCTAACCGTGTATTAAGTTTTTGGATTTTGGGCCCCGTTTTTAAATTGGTCCACATTGAAGTCCAAAGGGTCCAAAATTTAACTTTTTTTGTTTGATTTCATCAAAAATTGAATTATTGGGGTTCTTTGATATGCCGAATCTAACCGTGTATTTAGATTCTTAATTTTTGGTTCCATTTTCAAATTGGTCTACATAAAGGTCCAAAGGGTCCAAAATTAAACTTAGTTTGATTTTAACAAAAATTGAATTTTTAGGGTTCTTTGATATGCTGAATCTAAACATGTATTTAGATTTTTGATTATGGGCCCAGTTTTCAAGTTGGTCCAAATCGGGGTCCAAAATTAAACTTTGTTTGATTTCAACAAAAATTGAATATATGGGGTTCTTTGATATGCTGAATCTAACCATGTATTTAGATTTTGGATATTGGACCATAATAGGTGAATGTCCAATTTAAAATTTTTAAGTTCTTAGACCACATTCATTCTGTGTCAGAAACCTATGCTGTGTCAAATATTTAATCACAATCCAAATTCAGAGCTGTATCAAGCTTGAATGTTGTGTCCATACTTGCCCCAACTGTTCAGGGTTCGACCTCTGCGGTCGTATCAAGCTGCGCCCTGCGGAGCATTTTATTAGAATTTTCGTTCACACTAGATTGTTTTGTGTCAGTGTTTTATGGAATATAGATGTAACACATTTTGATCATCTCTAATAAATGATGAAAAACATTTTTTGTTTTGAATGCTAAAAAAAAACAAGTGTTCTTGTAATACCAAAATGTGTCATATCATCAGTTTAATAGGGATTGATATTCACAGGGGCTAGTAGCTTAAAATTTTAACTTACCAATCTTGGGCCCATTTGAGCTTGATCTTATAATACTACACTAGGCCACCAAGAATATTGGCTGGGCTACCGCTGGAAAGTTGTAATCTCAATCCCTGGTTTAATCCAGATCATTAGATTCTACTTTTGTTGTTTAACTGGTACACTTTCTTTAATTATATATGATTTGCCACAGGACGTTAAGCAACCAACAATTATATAAGGAAATAATTTAGTTGGAACTCCATGTGATTATTTTTGGTATATATATTTGAGATGTTACTTTTCATGAAAAGATTTGCTGCATTTATATATATTTTCATGCACAGTTATTAAAACATTAATTGGCTAGCTGAATCACATTGCATTTTTTATTCAGGTTGCACTATAATAAAAATATTCATTCATTCATATTAAATGTCATGCATAGAATGTCATCTGACAGTTGTATATGTTAATGTACATTAAGCAGATGTTGTGCATATTTTACTAAAGTCTTTTTTTTCTTGTAGGAGATGTTACATATCATATTTAGACAGTGTACATTTTTTCCAACCAAGACAACTCAGGACAGCAGTTTATCATGAAATTCTTATTGGTTATTTAGAATATGCCAAACAAATGGGATTCACATGGGCACATATTTGGGCTTGTCCACCAAGTGAAGGAGATGATTACATTTTTCATTGTCATCCACCAGAACAAAAAATTCCAAAACCCAAACGTCTACAAGAATGGTATAAAAAGATGTTAGATAAAGCTATTATTGAAAGATGTGTGATTGATTATAAGGTTTGTATGATCAAAAAGATTGTAATGAACAGTTGGTAATACCACTGCTAGCACAGAAAAAAAGTTATTGGGGTGGTAGGTATTTTAAGGGGGGATTTTAATTCCATGACCTTTAAACAGGACAACCCATTAAATGAGGAACTATTCCTGAGTAATAATATGATAGTGCTAAAAAAACAAAATTTTCTCATCTGATTTTTTTCACTTAAAATGGCACAACTTTATAGAAAAAAGCAAAGACCTCTTCCAAAGAACCATATTTTTATTTTGGTTTTTTAAAAAGATTAGGAGCATTGAAAATTGTCAATTTTTCAAAGTTTTCATAGGAATAAATCACCAGTCAGCCATCATCTTATTATTAGTCTATAAATTTGTTCAAAAAAAGTAGTTCTTGTGTATTTTTAGGCGGGAATTACATTATCACTAAATATTCATGAACTTTATTTTAATGTACATTATTTGGAAGACATTTCTATGGTAATTTTAGATAAAATTGATAGGTTGAATAATCATTAAATTGTTCTGAAAAGATTTCCTTTGTTTCTTTTAATAGTTTTGATGTTGTTACAATATCTAAATATAATAACTAAGTATTACATTGTACTAAGTTTTTTCTTGTGTTTAAATATGATCTCGTCACAAAATATGAGGGCATACATTAGAATTTAGTGTATGCCCTCATATTTTACAGTTTTGGGTTTTTTGCTTGAATTAATATTTTAGTCTTAGGTACATGATCTTTTCAATTAGTTGTTATTGGCTTTGAACTAGCTGTCAGTAACTGTGAGTACTCTCAGATCTGTACTTGTGTCTTTTTTGTTGTTTGGGATGAGGATGGATAAATACCCTTCACGTCCGGTCTGTGTTTTAGTCTGATGTTTTTCTGCTCTGTATCAATCTGATGAGATAAGCCTTTTTCAACTGTTTTTCATAGTTTGTTCTTATGTTGTGCTGTTACACAACTGTCCCAGCTTAGGGGAAGGGTTGAGCGCTCACAAATATGTTTAACCCCGCCACAATCTTTATGTGCCTGTCCCAAGTCAGTAACCTGTAGTTCAGTGGTTGTTGTTGGTTCATGTCTGTCATATTTGTTTTTATACGACCGCAAAAAATTTTTGCGGTCGTATATTGGTATGACGTTGGCGTCGTCGTCGTCATCGGCGTCGTCCGAAGACACATTGGTTTTCGCACTCTAACTTTAGTTTAAGTAAATGGATCTCTATGAAATTTTACCATAAGGTTCAATACCACAAAAGGAAGGTGGGGATTGATTTTGGGGGTTATGGTACCAACAGTTAAGGAATTAGGGGCCAAAAATAAGCATTTTTGTAACTTCCAGACATAACTTGTGTGTTAGTGTATGAATCTCTCTGACATTGTACCACAAGGTTCCATATCACACAGGGAATGCTGGGATTGATTTTGGGGGTAATTGCCTCAAAATATTAGGAATTAGGGGCCAAAAAAGGGGCAAAAAACAAGCATTTTTCTAGTTTCATGACAATAACTTGTGTGTAAGTGTATGGATCTTTCTGAAATTGTACTACAAGGTTCCATATCACAAAGGGAAAGCTGGAATTGAGTTTGGGGGTAATTGCCCTAAACGTTTAGGAAAAAGGGGCCAAAAAGGGTGCAAAAATAAGCATTTTTCTAGTTTCCAGACAATAACTTGTGTTCAAGTGTATGGATCTCTCTGAAATTGTACTGCAAGGTACCATACCACAAAGGGAAGGCTGGGATTGATTTTGGGGGTAATTGCCTAATCTAACCGTGTATTTAGATTCTTAATTTTTGGTCCCGTTTTCAAATTGGTCTACATTAAGGTCCAAAGGGTCCAAAATTAAATTTAGTTTGATTTTAACAAAAATTGAATTCTTGGGGTTCTTTGATATGCTGAATCTAAACATGAACTTAGTTTCTTGATTATGGGCCCAGTATTCAAGTTGGTCCAAATCAGGGTCCAAAATTAAACTTTGTTTGATTTCAACAAAAATTGAATATATTGGGTTCTTCGATATGCTGAATCTAACCATCTATTTAGATTTTTGATATTTGGGCCCGTTTATCAAATTGGTCCACATTGAGGTTTAAAGGGTCCAAAATTGAACTTTATTTGATTTCATCAAAAATTGAATTCTTGGGGTTCTTTGATATGCTGAATCTAACCATGTAGTTAGATTTTGGATATTGGAATACCACAAAGGAATGGTAAGAATTGTCTTTGGGAGTTATGGCTCAAACCGTTAAGGAATAAGGTGCAAAAAAGGGGGGGAAAAGGGTTTCCAGGTTAATGGACAATTACCTAAGTACAAAACATAATTTTAAAGGCAGTGTAAGGTTGGTAATTGAAACTCATTTGAATATCTCACCTAAACTGCTTTTAAGTTATGTATATTGGAAATTTGCCAAAAACTTTATTATTAATAAATTCCATTGGAAATTTGCCAAAAACTTTAGTTTAATGAACTTCATTGGAAATTTGCCAATATAAAATGTTGCTGATGAAGCGTTTTTGTTTATCTCACCTAAACTGCTTTTAAATTATGTATATTGGAAATTTGCCAAAAACTTTATTGTTAATAAATTCCATTGGAAATTTGCTAATAACTTTAGTTTAATAAACTTCATTGCATTTTTTCTAGTTTCCAGACAATAACTTGTATGTAAGTGTATGGATCTCTCTAAAATTGTACTAGGGGGGGGGGGGGGGGGATTTTTTTTTTTCCAATTTTTTGGGGTTCATATTTTTTTTCTTCAAAGTTTTTGTAATCTTCAATTGCACAATATTGCGCAATAGCAAGAAATCTTCAATTGCACAGTATTGCGCAATAGGAAGAAATCTTTAATTGCACAGTATTGCGCAACAACACAGTATTGCGCAATAGCACAGTATTGCTCAATAGCACAGTATTGCACAATAGCACAGTATTGCACAATAGCAAGAAATCTTCAATTACACAGTATTGCGCAATAGCAAGAAATCTTCAATTGCACAGTATTGCGCAATAGGAAGAAATCTTCAATTGCACCGGTTTGTGCAATAGAAAGAAATCTTCAATTGAAAATAAATACAAATCTTTTAACCAATTTCAATGGGATTAATTTAAAGTCTTTAATTTTTGGGGGTTCTTACCTTGTATTACTTTTTTGGATATTGGGCCCCATTTTTAGATTGTTCTACATTGAGGTCAAAAGGGTCCAAAATTAAACTTTGTTTGATTTCATCAAAAACTGAATGATTGCGGCTGTATGATATGCTGAATCTTATTGTGCATTTAGATTTTTTATTTTGGGCCCTGTTTTCAAATTAGTCCATATTAAGGTTTGAAGGGTCCAAAATTAAACTTTTGATTGATTTCAACTAAAATTAAATTTTTGGTGTTTTATTATATGCTGAATCTAACCATGTTGTTAGATTTTGGATATCAGACCATTCTAGGTAAAATGAATGTCCCATTTCAAAATTTTAAGCTCTTTGACCACATTTATTTTGTGTCAGAAACCTTTATTATGTCAAAAATTTGATCACAATCCAAATTCAGACAGTATCAAGCTTGAATATTGTGTCCAAACTTGCCCCAACTGTTCAAGGTTCGACCTCTGCGGTCGTATCAGGCTGCGCTCTGCGAAGCATTTTATTCGTAAATTGTTTTGTTATGAATTAGGCTGTTAGTTTTCTCAATTGAATAGTTTCATATTTTTCATGTGAGGGCCTTTTAGCTGACTATACGGATAGGGGTTATTCTCATTGTTGAAGGCTGTATGGTTGCCTATAATAGCTTACATCCACTTCATTTGAACTTGGGTGGATAGTTGTCTCATTGGCAATCATACCACATCTCCTTATTAGTCCCCTACCGACGAAGTCAAGGGGACTTTAGGTTTGCACTCCGTCTGTCTGTCTGTCCATACGTCAGTCCGGCAAATCAGTTTTCCACACTTTTTTTCTTCGTGCTTGAAGATATTATAAGATATTGATTTAATAATTGGTACATTGTTTTATCATGACAAGTTACAGATCAAGTTAGAATTTTGTTCCAGTCTGATGATTTTGTTCAGTGTTATGGTCCTTGGACCTAGAAAATTCACTCAAATAATCAACTTTCCACACTTTTTTATACGACCGCAAAAAAATTTTGTGGTCGTATATTGGTATGACGTTGGCGTCGTCTTTGTCTGGCGGCGTCGTCGTTGTCCGAAGACACAGTGGTTTTCGCATTCTAGCTTTAGTTGAAGTGAATGGATCTATATGAATGTTTACCAGAAGGTTCAATACCACAAAAGGAAGGTTGGGATTGATTATGGGGGTTATGGTACCAACAGTTTAGTAAAAAGGGGCCAAAAACAAGCATTTTTGTAGTTTCTGGACAATAATTTGTGTGTAAGTGTATGTATCTCTCGGAAATGGTACCATATCACAAAGGGAAGGCTGTGATTGAGTTTGGGGTTAATTGCCCCAAATGTTCAGGAATTAGGGGCAAAAAAGGGGCCAAAAACAAGCATTTTGATACGCCCGTTTATGGGACGTATTATGGTATACCGTTGACCTTCTGTCCGTCCGTCCGTCATCAACATGTCGGACATTAACTCAAAAAAGCTTTAACCAATATGCATGAAACTTTGGTGAATTGTTTATATCTATTGACGTGAGCTCCCTTTCGTTTTTTATAAATTTCAGATTTACCGTTTCCGAGTTTTGGGGTTTTATTCATTAAAAAAGGGGGGATTTTCCAGTTTTCCGACAATAACTCAAGAATGCTTTCACCAACTTGCAAGAAATTTTGGTGAATTGTTTATATCTATTGACATGAGCTCCCTTTCGATTTTTGTCGAGCCTGCGACTTTTGTCGCAGAAAGCTCAACATAGGGATAGTGATCCGGCGGCTACGGCGGCGGCGTTAGCTAACTTCTTAAAAGCTTTATATTTTAGAAGGTGGAAGACCTGTATGGTCCGAGTACACAGTTATCGTCCTTTGATTTTCGTTGTCCACGAATAAAGT